TTGTATTTGGTGCGAAAAATCCATTTGCAGCCAATGAGAGTTCTGTCTGGTGGTAGGGGAACAAGTTTCCATGTATTGTTGTTGAGAAGAGCATTATATTCATCTGTCATAGCTTGGAGCCAATGGGGTTGGGCCATGGCTTGTGTGGCAGTGGTGGGTTCAAGGTTAGTTGTGTAGGCTTTATGTTTGAAAATCCCTGCTTTGGCCCTTGTAATCATGGGATAAACTGAAACAGTGGTGGGATTAGATTGTGGAGAAGATGTGTTGGGGGATCTGTGTTGGGCAGTGTTTGGTGTAGTAGGAGGGGAGGTTGGAGGAGTTGCACTAGCAGGTTGAGTGATATGAATGGGAATAGTGGGTATAGTAGGGGTTGATGATTGAGTAGGTGGGTTAGTGGAGATAGATGTGATATTTTTGCTGTAAGGAAAGTCAACCTCATCAAAGAGGACATGTCTGGCTATGATGAGTTGGTTAGTGGGGGAGAGGCATTTGTAGCCTTTATGTTTGGTACTGTAGCCAATGAAAGTACATTTGGTGGATCTGAAGTCAATCTTATTTTTATTGTATGGTCGTAGATAAGGGTAGCAGACACAACCAAAAGTTTTGAGAAAATGGTAGTCAGGTGATTTGTGGAAGAGAGTTTCATAGGGTGATTGATTTTGTAATGTGGGGGTAGGTAGTTGGTTGATGGTGAAAGTAGCAGTGAGAAAAGCATCCTCCCAAAATTTAGTGGGAAGGTGAGAGTGAGCAAGAATAGTTAACCCTATTTCAACTATATGTCTGTGTTTCCTTTCAGGTTTCCCATTTTGTTGATGGGTATAAGGGCAAGACAGTCTGTGGATGATACCTTGCTCTTTAAGGTAAGGACCAAACTTGAGATATTCCTTGGCATTATCTGTCTGTAAGTTTCTGACTTTTGTATTTAATTGTAGTTCTGCCATGGTCTTAAATTGTAAGAAGATGTTGAAAGCCTGTGATTTGTTGGTCATTGGATAGATCCAAGAGTAGTTGGAGTATGCATCAACAAAGAGAATGTAGTAGCGTGCTCCTGAAGTGCTTTCAATGGGAGCTGGTCCCCATATATCTGAGAGAACAAGTTCTAAAGGAGAAGAATATATTGTAGCAGTACCAGGTAAATGTAATTGATGCATTTTGGCCATGCAACATGCTGAACATAGATTGGACTCTGTTTTATTTATAAAAGGAATGTTGCATTTTCTAAGTACAGATTTTACAATAGGAAAGGCAGCATGTGCTAAGCGTTGGTGCCAAAGATTTAAATTGATAGTGCTGGTAGTGTGATTACAAGTAATAGTATTGTGTGTATCTAATTGAGCAGGTGTAATAGCTAAATTGGAGATGTTAGATTGCTTGGACAGATTAGATCCATCAAAGACATAGAGCCCATTTTCAATTCTGCCTTGGAGAAGGATCTCCTGAGTAGCCTGTGATTTGATGCAGCAATTATTAGCATGAAATTCAAAATAGACATCAGGATCATTGGCAAATTGGGACACACTTAATAGATTCTTTGTCAAACCAGGAACATGAAGAAGGTCAGTAAGAGTAAATCTTAATGAATTGACATTTGAATGAAGAAAAGAATAACCTGTGTTTTGTATTTTCAGGTTTGAACCATTACCAACTTGCACCGAATCTTGACCAGAATAAGGAGTCTTGTTGAGTAGATTGTTGGAGTCTGGAGTAAAGTGATTGGTTGAACCAGAATCTGGGTACCAATTGGAATCTGTTGTGGAGAAGAAATCAGAGGAGTTGTCTTCATCATGTTGTCCGGGGCCAGGGCATTTGGTGACAGTCATGTTGGCTTGAAGATTGGAGTTACTGTTGGTTTGAGTGAAGGGATTTTGATAATTCTGATTGTACCGGTGAAAGCATTCCCATGCTTGGTGACCTGGCTTGCCACAGACTTGACAGGAGGGACGATAGGTGGGAGTGCGTCCTCCTGCTCCTCTTGAGAATCGTCCTCTAGTGTACCTTCCACCTCTGTTTGAAGGGAAGCTGCCTCTATTAAAATTAGAGGCGTTGTAAGGTTTGCGAAATTGCATTTGGGCCATATTGGCTTGTAGAGTCGTGGTTTCACGAACTCTGTGTCGCTCAATACGTTGTTCTTGAGCCATGAGGAGGGCCTCAATTTCTCCTACTGTGTAGGCATCGGTTCTTGAAGTGATGGAGGTGACAAAATTGTCATAGTCTTCATTAAGGCCATCCAAGATAGCTTCAATGTGATCTTCAGTGCTGATAGGTGATCCAGTTGCTGCTAAAGAATCAATAACCTTTTTGATCTGAAGTAGGTATGTTGATGCTGGTCCTTCTTTTCTGTTGTTTTTCAATTGAGTTTTCAATTGTTTGACACGGGCTCTAGTGTGTGATGTAAAGAATTCTTCTAGTTTTGTCCAGATTTGAAAGGAAGTCTGGCAGCCCACCATTCTTGTGTAGACTGTTTCGGACATGGAAGATAGGAGCCAAGATAGTAGCAGTTGATCTTGTTGAATTTCAATGGATCTTGAGGTTTCTTGATCAGCAATAGTGTCTTTGTCTATTGGTTCCTTTTCTTTTTCTTTCTCTGAACTTGTTGATGAGCTTTCTTTTGCTGCAGGTTTCATTGGAAGTTCCCCAGCAATGAAGCGATCAAGATTGTAGCCTCTGATGGCGGCAAGAGCCTGTTGTTTCCAGGGCAAGAAATTGTCTTCATCGAGTTTGAATGAGACTGGGTTGGAGAAAGATTGAACAGAGGTTTGAGCGCGTGATTTGTCCATGGATCTTTTAGCTCTGTGATACCATGTGAGAAACAAAGAGAGAGAATGAAAGATCTTGAAGAGAAATGTAACTGAATAATTCTTTTGTATATTGAAAATGTAATATGACTTGTTACAATAGACTACTAATATATACATGTTGACATTTGAGCTGATGGGCCTATTCTATCTAATGGGTCGTGGGCCTTATATGGCTATTATATATGGGCTTAACATTTCTGCAGCAGCCGTAGATAGTGTTATCTACAGCTGACACAGAAAAGTGGGCCCCACGGCTTTTAAAAAAAAAAACTTAGGATCCGTTGCCGTATCCTAGGATTCAGACGTGTATCCTTGCTTGTTGTAGGTACAGCAGCTGTAGAAATCATTTTGCCTATATATATATATATGGAAGAGGTTATACTTACAACCTTTTTTTTACAACCATATATCATAACCGTTGATTTCCGCCAATCAACAGTTATGATTTTCGCAAATTAAACTCATTAATTAATTATTAATTCATAATAAATGACAACCGTTGATTGACGGAAATCAACGGTTATGATATATGGTTGTAAGAGGTTGTAAAAAAAAAAGATTGTAACTATAACCTTCCTCTATATATATATAGAGAGAGAGAAATGTTATACTTACAACATTTTTTCTTTACAACCTCTTACAACCATATCTTAACACCGTTGATTGGCGGAAATCAACGGTGTTAAGATATGGTTGTAAAAGGTTATAAAAAAAAGGGTTGTAAGTATAACCTTCCTCATATATATATATATATATATGAATTTTATAATTCTCATGTTGAATGAAAATTAAAATCTTATGTTGTAGAGACAAAAATTATGTGAGACCCATATGTTAGAAAAAATTATAAGTAAGATCCATGTCAGCACTGAAATCGAAAGATATGTAGGAAAATTTCAATTCTCATGTTGAATGAGAATTATAAAACCCTATATATATTGCTAATTCTGATCAACCTTAGCTGTCATTCTTTGGACACAAGAAAAACTTGTACCCACATCCAATTCCCTCCTCTTTCATGAGAATAATTTGGAACAAGGATACACAACACCAGACAAGGAACGTTGGCATCAGAAGCCACGCTTACACTAATCCAATTTTTCCGTACTTTTGTAATATACTAATTTCAATATATATATGGGATAAGATATTATGACACCCAAGTTATGTTACACTCATGTGACACCCCGTCAATCTCACCGTTAGATCGCTTATGTTGATCCAACGGTTATATTTATTTCCATCTTTGTATGGTCATGATTTCCCAAATTTAATATTTTATATTTATTTCTACCTTTGTATGGTTATGATTTTCCATATTTAATGCTTTCACTTTACATTTGGAAAATCATGACCATACAAAGATGAAAATAAATATAACCGTTGGATCAACATAAGCGATCTAACGGTGAGATTGACTGGGTGTCACATGGGTGTAACATAACTTGAGTGTCACAATATCCTATCCCTATATATATATATGGGAAAAAAGTTTTCGATGTTACTTTAGATAACTTTATCTAATGTTCATCGAAACAACGTCGTTTTGGGGTTGAAAAATTAAAAAATTAGAGTGATAAAGACTATTATAACCCTGAAATAAATTAAAATTACAAAAACACAATGATTTCCGTCCCAAAACGACGTCGTTTTGATGAACATTAGATAAAGTTATCTAAAGTAACATCAGAAAAAGCAAACCATATATATATATATATATATATATATATGTATGGGCCTATCGTTTCTCAAGCTGTTTGAGATAATGTTATCTCCGGCTACTAAATCATAACCATACAAAAGTAAATCAATTAATATAAGAAAATAAATAAATAAAGCGACGTAGTTTTGGGGTGGCCGGAGATAAACTTATCTCAAGCAGCTTGAGAAATGTTTTTCCATATATATATATATATATATATGTCCATATTTAGTGTGTTCTGATGTCCATGTTATGTCCTGTGTCATTGTGTGTTCATACTTCCACTTCTCCACATATTCCTAGGAATATCCCCCTTTCTCTCGTTCCCTGTAATAAATTCTTTTTAACATTATACCGTGCTTTCCTACCACATAAAATGACATGGGATGAGCTAACATCAGCAAAATACAGCCACAACGCAATATTGACCTAGGATCCCCTCAAATACTCAAATGAAAATGGTTAGTCGCCTTAAATTAACAAGAGAAATGTGACAAGGTATCTGCAAATTGAGAGCGAAAGAATCATCAAACAAAACCATAGAATTTACATCATTTCCATAAAAAAACAATCAAAATTCCTACACGAATGCATTAGCTCAAACTTTTCAATTTCAATTAGTCAAATAACTATTAACCTGCTATGCATGAACATATTACATATCTACCATAATTCCGAACTTCCAAGTAGCAGAAAATTGAGCTCAAGATGGTATGATCACTTCATCCTTCCCATAGATACGCTGAAGCTCCCGAGAAGCAGCTTGGTATGATGCTGATAATAGGGAAAATACATTTAAAGTAAGATTAAAGAATTTGTACTGTATTTATATTTAAGCATAACAATTAATGCGAGGATGTGGTGCTCAGCCTAGTTGTCAGTTTTCTTAACCACAACAAGCAAACTGATATTTACATTACCTTTCCAGATACGAAAATTCTTTTGATTGATGATAGAGCCAGTCACCTTTTGAATTGCATCAAAAAGCATCTCCTGAGGAGTGTTTTTCAGCTCTTGAACGACAGCATAGATGGTTTTTCCATTGTCAAAGTATATGTGATTGTTAGGGTGTTTGGTCTTGGCACCAGCATGACGCTCAAACTCATATGCATTGAGAGCCTTCATGATAGAATTCAACATGTCAGTATAATAACTTAGATCATGCAAAATACCAAAGAAACAAAGTATTTAGCCATGCTAACCTTGGACTGCTTGCAGTCATCACACGAACACAAATACCCAGTTCCCTTTATGAATCCTTTATGAACTCTCTACCAAGCATAATATCAAACACATTAGAAAGAAATAATTAATTATAAAAAAACTATGACACCCCAGAAATATAGTAAGATTAAAGTAAACCGTTTACCTCTCGTGACCAAGAAACATATCTCACAGGAACACCATCAAAAATACCAGTTGACAACAAACTTTTAACATTTGAAGGGAAGTTGTTAACAGGAGCCTTCTTGGTTATCTTTGGCTCTTTATTCTTAAGGATAGTATCAGTTTTGAGATTAGATTTTGGACTGCTATTTACAGGTAGTTCACAGTTTGACTGAGTCAGAGCCTTCTCCCCATCCAAACCTTCAGCTGAGGTATGGTTGCCCATCAATAGATCGTAGCCACTAATTATCCCTCCAGAGGGATTCGATTCCCGGTCATCATGAAAACCTCCAAAAGATATGGTGCTTCCCTCACCCTTATTGTGGTTGTAGTCCACGGCTAAAGAGCTAGAATCTCTTTTGTCATATGAAGGAACTGTTGATGCAATGTTTGAATCCACCTTATCATATGTTGGACCTATTGGTATTATATGATCAATGCCCTTGTCATAGGAAGCATCAATAGTTATGAAATTTTCTCCTGATTTACTATAGGTTGGATCCATTGATAGAAAGTTCTCATGCCCCTTGTAGTATGAGGTACCCAGAGATATCATATTGCTATCATCCTTTTCATATGACTGACCCATTGATATGAAATTTCCATCTCCCCTGTCAAAGGCCTGACTCATTGATAAGATATTTTCATCTCCCTTGCCATAATTGTGGCCCATCAACATAAAGCTCCCATCCCCCTTGTTGAAGGTGTGACCCATTGAAACAAGATTGTCATCAGTCTTACTTAATGTCGTCCTAGTAGATATGGTATTATCATTTCCATTGTTAGAAGTTGGGCCCAATGATATGTTGCCATCATTCTTACTGTAGCCAACACCTATTGAAAATGTGTTATTATCAGCCCTACCATAAGAGTGCCCCATGGATGAAGACATGCAATTCTCAGAATCTCTGACTTGATTAACTTTGACTTTTCTGATACCACCAAAACTGAGACATGATGAAGGGTCCTCCAAGGTATGAGATATTGATAAACCCACGGATGGATCATTACCATATTGATTCTCAAAATCCCTTCTTCCCATGTTCAGATTTCCACTTGCAATTGATGGCATGTTTTTATCAACCAAATTGACAGCCCTTAGTTCAGATCCAAAGAGACGGTCAGAAAATTGACCTGTGACTGAGTGGAATCCCGAATTGGTGTCCCATGGAGAAACACTTATATGTGAAACTCCTGAAATTGGGCTGCCGCTAACACTTTCAACAGCTTGCTTCTTGTTGTTGCTGAATAGTTCTGGTTCACCATGACCACGCTTTGGTTCAATTCTGGAAGAATTCTCATATCCCATATTTTCTTCAGCTAAGCAGCCAGCATCCCGTGGCATCCAAAAGTTTTTATTCTGAAAAGACTGCCAAAACCATAGCAACCATAGCTTAGAATATTAATCTTATTGACAGAATACGGAGCCTTAAAATAGTGACCAACTATAATATCAACATCAACATCACCTTTATCCTAAAATAGTTGCGTTGGTGACCAACTATAATATATTTGGAAAAAGAAAGAAAGATATATCACAGTAGATATTTCTCTTAACAAAAGTAACTATCCTTAAAGTTGCTGACATTGTTTCGTTGCACTTAGCAGGCATGAAACAGGAAATGGAACATCATAAAAACCAGGAGTTAACTAACAAACAGTTTAAATATATCAAACTGATACTTCAGAATTTTTGTCTTGGCATTTCTCAAAAGTAATCTTGACAAGAATTTCATAGCATTAGGTTTTTAGGTGCCTTTAAGGAAAATAACAATTAATCAGAACGGAAAAAAAAAAACTGTTGCTATGAAAGATCGGTGCATTCAAATAAAGGAGCAGCTTGTTTTAAACAGATATGTCCAAAATAAAGGTCACTAGGGTAGTTAATGATCATGTCTTATGGTAATCTTGAGTCGAACTATATACAAAACAGAACTAAGAAGACATAAGCATGAGAGTTCCACCATTTTAATGCTGTTTAAATCTTTTGCACTGACATAGTTCATTCAAAGTTCACTTTTGGGATCTAATGAAGGTTAGTTGATAGATTAATGGACAGAATGTGATTTATGGTTTGTGTGTATCTAACTTACTAAAATGCAAGGAGAAATTTAGCCACAGATCAACCTATAGAATAAGCTTAGAACCAAAACTAAAATAAAGTAGTTCAGAAAACAGATGACTTTAGGATCAAGTGAGGACATGCATTCATAGCATGAAATATGAAACACAAAATCACCAACGAACAAGCAAATTACCACAGCCACATCTATGGATATATTCATAAAACCACTCCAACTAAAGCTGACAAGATGGTATAGAAAAGGGGTGAATAAAGGAGAAACACAGTCGAACACATTAAAAAAAGCCGCATGAATTTTAAATGTTATGTCATTCCATGCATGCATGGTTGTCAAAATTGAGATGTTACCTAAGTTTGGAAGGGGATAAAAAGATCATAAATTGTGGGATCTGGACGGATCGTAAGATCCTACCTTCTTAATTTTAATCATAAAAAATAATATCTGTGTATATAAAATAACATTAAAATCATAACTTCAATCATAAAAGATAGGGAACATAAAAGACAACAAAATCCAAAAAGAGTTAAAAGGCAATTCCAAAACATTACCAAATTCAAATAATTCAAGTCACTTTCTAACAAAACCCCAAAATTAATCCAACGGAGTTCAAATCTAATCCATCAAATCAAATCATTTCAATCAAGTCATAATCATCATCTTCTATGGCATTTTCTCCAACTTCAGCAAGTTCTTCATCAAAATTTAATAACTCCAAGTCCAAATCATCCATAGGACTAGGTTCAACCAAGTGTTAGTGATTCCGGATCGTGGTTTTCTTTAACCGTTCAAACAATCTCACTGATTTTAGGATCTTCTTCTACGATTCCACTCTATCCTGTCCCATAAGGATCCTACTTGCGATTCATATCATTTATGGCCAAAAGATCCTATGATCATAGGATCCTACGATCCAAATCAGGATTTTGACAACTATGCCTGCATGGAGTTTGAATACCGTGTTTTCCCATCTACAGAGAAAGTTCTTTAGACAATACATATTTTCTTATCAACCATGACTGATTACAGGATGTACATTTTTACAAAAGGGTAGTTACATGATTCACACCAATAAAAAAATCCAACATCAAAGTCAGATATTAGAAGAGTTTCCAATCTATAACAAGATTGTAATACACATTTGCCTAAGCATGCGGTTCTGTGTATCTTCAACCGAAAAATTCATAAACTAAATTCTCAAAAGATACCTTGTATTTTAAAATACTGGAAAGGGAAACAAATGGGTATAATATAGAATGATCACAGAAATGATATGTAACATTCATTTCATGCATTGCATTATATCACACTTGAGTATAAGGAGCTAATGAGCTCCTTATCCGTATATTGATAACATCGTCAGCACAAAGAAGCAACACCTAATCTGAGTGTTTTCTCTAAAAAGTGTTGTACAAATTTCAAGCAAAGCTTCACATAAATGATAACTGTAACAAATAAACCCCAAGATTGAGTCCAGGCATTTGCATGCAAATAGCTTATAATAATTTTGAAGGTACCATTTTCCAGTATATGTTTGAAGATAAGCAATCTGGAGTGAATGATTAACGGCAGCAACTATTGAAGGAAGCCAACCACAGAATGATGCAAATGTTTTTGGTCTGTATCCAGATACACTCAACCCACTATGCCTTTTACTCTATGCCACCGTAAAATCGAAGCTTGGACTTGATCAGATTAATCTGCAAAAAAAGAGAGAGTAACTCATTGAGGTTGGATCACGCTGAAAAAATGAGTAAGCGATTAAAATGAAGATAGAAACTGGAAAAACATAGTGGCGGGAATCGTGGAAGTTGAGAGCGGCGGGATTCACCGGAATCATCGCCGGAGATAGAGAGAGAGTTCGAAAATGGAAAATGAGCGCAGCCAGAAGAGACAGAGAGGTTTCGGAGTGAGGCAGACAAGAATAATATACGCTGCAGTGCACATCATCTCTATGCTATGTTTCTCTCATACTGTCCGTACACGTGTATTGATTATTTGCGTGCCTGTACCCCCCGAGAATGAGAAAAGAGATGACGTGGAATATTTCATAAACAATAGAAGGAAAAACTTTCCCTTTCTAAATTTTTTAACAGACAGTTATACTTATTATTTTTTATTATCAAATTATAATAGTTAGATGGATAGAAATCAGCGGTTAAAATTTAGTAATAAGAAAAAGATATCGTAATTATAACCTCCCCATTTTTTAATTATTCATACCTTTACTTGAAGTTTTATTGTTAATCACCCCTTATTTATTAGGGTAAAAGATAAAGAAATTTTAAGTTAAGAATATAAATGATTTAAAATTTCTAGAAGAAGACAAGTGATTATGAGAAAACTTAGGGGAAATTTTTGAAATTTTCCATAAAAAAAAAATTGAACTCGTCTCTTGTGTTCATTATTTTATAGAACAAAACTTTAGTGAATCTGGAGTTCTGAAAAAAGGATAGAGTGAAATTATAATCATAATAATCGTTGGATCAATATAATCGATCTAACAGTGAAATTGATTAGTAGTAACACTAATTGGTAAAGTGTTGGATAAGAGCTTTTTAATGATTTATATTATTTTCTAATACACCCCTCACACAAGAGCCGTTTGGACTTGAAGCATATTGCATAGGTTCATTTTTTTTTTCTTTTTTGTTTACCTTATACTTATTTGATTTCAAAAATGTGGACGGTGAGTATTGAACTCGTGAACTTGTGATCACTGAAGCTCTGATACTATATAAATAATCACTTCAAGTCAAAACTTTAAAATGTTGGATTATGATCTTCTTATATTATTTTCTAACATTTTTCTTTCATTTATGTCAAATTTTTTTTTTCACATTTGAAAAAAAGGGAGTTCTCACTTTAGTACTATCGGTGCACTAAAAATTTTGTTCCTTTTTATAGAATAAAACTTGGGTACTCCCTTTTTTTCAAACGTGGAAAAAAAGTCTTCACTCTACTCATTTCTTTCATATATTATTATTTGTCTCAAAAAAAAATTCATAATTAAAAAAAGGGAGTATCCACTTGAATACTCCAAGTGCATTAAAATCTTGTTACTTTTTATGAAACAAAACTTTAGTGAATCGGTGGGTACTTCCTCTTTCTAAATGTGGAAATAAATTTTCTACTCTACTAATTTTTTCAATTTATATCCCAATTTTTTTTTCACATCTGGAAAAAGAAGTACCCACTTTTGTTCCTCCTGTATTAACACATCACTCTGTATAAACCAACCGGAAATGGATCTTCTAACGTGAGAAAAAAATATGACATGATCATGTGAGAAGATCACAACTATATAAAATTAAATTAATGGTTACGATTTTGTAACTATCTATTTTACTATTTTTTTCCTCTCCTTTTTTATTACCATTGATCCACTTTGTATGGTTATAATTTCTCACTTTATCATGTCCTGTGATTTTTTACATCAGAAGATCCGGATCCAAACCAACCATTCATGAATTGGCATGAGTTATTTCAGGTTAATTCATGATTTTATGTTTGAATCCTTAGCTGTATTACAAATTCAGAAAGAAAAACTTTATTATTCTTATCATCTTATCCGACTTGAATCTGATCAATCTAATAATTAATGTGTTTACCAAAAAAAAAAAAAAAAAAACAAGCGGAGAATTTTTTTTTAAAATAAATAAATTCCTGAGCGGAGCACCCGAACTGGGCGGTATGCTCTGTGTAAAGTGCAAAAGCTATTCTTTTTAATTCTCCCAACTTTCTCTCTTTCTTTTTGGCCTATTTTCCCTAAATTATGCATAAGTTAGTTGGCAAAATTATTTGAAGAAGCAAGTAAGGTGAAAATATAATTCTATTTAACATTTGTGTATCGTTATAAATAAATAGAAAAATATTTCTGCAGTTAATGCAGATAAGTTATCTGCATTTATTTTCAAAACGACGTCTTTTTGGGATTGAAAGATTAAAAAATTATAATTATAAAGACTATAATAAACCTGAAATAAATTAAAATTATAAAAACATCATATTTTTGCCCCAAAATAACGTCGTATTGGGCTTACTACAAATAACTTATCTGCAGTAACGGCAGAAAAAACGAACTCATAAACAAAATAAGAATATGAATAAATGTAAGCAATATTATTAGAATTTAATATTTATGTTTTTGCTGAAAAAAAATTTATCTGACACATTTACATAAAAATAAATGGGTCCCACTCACTCACTTTTATATTAGTATAGCAGAAGAATATTTTCCACGACAAAAGCATAAACATTTTTCCCATATTATTACTATTACTATTATTATTATTATTATTATAGTGCTTGATATGTGTTCCTCTTTCTAAAAAAAAAAAACTTTTTTACAAAACTACTAGTCTCACCTCACACCATTACTTGCCATATCAGTAATCCATTATCTTAAAACCTTCTACCCTAAAAAGGTGACCCATTAACACTCACAAATTTTTAATTGAAACTTAATTAAATTTGGGTGTTAATTAGAACGATTCTTACAAAAGGAGAATTTTAGAATATTATATGAAAAATAAATTCCATTTCCCCCTTCTTTTATAAAAATCTCAAACAAGATTATTGTTTAACAAATCTTTAACTATTGTCATTTGTTCGCAATTTTTCTCTTTACTCCTCACCTTCTTTAATGCTTATTTTTCTTAGGTAAGATTCTCCCTAACCAACATCACATTCACAAGAGAGTCGATTGTCCTTATCAAGTTACGCAGAATTTAACTTATAGGTAGGATGTTCCTATTTCAAATTATTTCATTTATCGTCCTTCCATTTAAATTTTAATAATTAAAAAAACCTAACAAATTAGAAAGAAGTTATTGCTAATAATGAGAGAAAGAATTTTTTGGCTAAATTATCATAATTTGATTGAGGAAAGAGAGAAAAACCACAAAAAAATGAGGATACAAGATTTAATTCGCAAGTCCAAACCCATTACCAACAGTGATATGCTATAGACAAAACTAATGATTCTGCTGAATTTCCTTTTTATATTTGCAGGACGATCCTGAATTTCATTCTCTTGGATGGTCTGATCTAATTACACTTTCTACTACGTGTTCTTATAGAATTAATGGACAGTAGCTTTTCACTAATCTAATGTGTTCTTATATATGTTTTACATCAGTAGTTTTTCAACAATATTACCACAATTGATGGTTCTTCTTTAAATATAGAATTGATATGTAAAGTAGATGGAAAACCAAGATCACATTTTATAACTAGAAACAACCACATATTTCAACATGGATTGATATTTTCCTTTCACAGTGAAGAATTGCAATTGTTTGATACATTATTCTTGGTATGGCGAACACGACACCTTATCAATACCCCTATATATATGACATGGATAGATAGTGATCACCTTTTAAATTTATCTAACATAAATAACATTAAATCTAGGTCGTTTACTATCATTTTATTTTATAATTTTTTCTTAACGTTCTCGTTATATTTATTTGCTATACGAATCTATAGTTATAAGCATTCAATTCCTCGCAAATCTTTAATCAGCAGGTTTAGCGTGAGCATGAAAACAACTGATTTAGTAACTTTTTTTATATACATCTGATAGTGTTTGACCAAAAAGATATTGGAGGTTGTATCCCTGACTTGTCCCGGTTATATGGCATTGACCATCATATTCAATGTAATCAGCTAATAACTAATTCACTTCTTAATTTAAAAGTGATTATGACACTTAATAGAGAATAAGTTATTTATAAGGCATATTGCTAAGCTTTGTAGTCGCTAATTAACAAAATTACGTGAGACCCAAATATTTTTTAAAAACAAATAGTAAATAAATGGACATAATAATTTAAATTGCTAAGCGGATTGAGATGTCCAATCAAAGGATTGATTGATTTTTATGGAATTCGTTTTTCCTCTCTTAAGTATCTATGTGGGAGATATCTTAGAGACTAGTAGATTATTATGCACGATGAACTAGCTAGCGGTGTAGCCAAGACATGAGATGTGTACACAACAGTGACATCTAATAAAAGAATATAAGTGTATATACATAGTTGACTTTAACCTCTTATTTATAGATGTGTTACTTGACAAGAGTGGACTTCTAATCCTCTTAGAATTATTGAGGGTCACATAACCATGATCCACTGATGATTAGAAATATTGAGGGTTAATTGAGGGTTAAGTACTTGATCCAACGATGATATGGTAAAATTGATATCTTTTAGACAACTTTTTTCTTATCTATCTTAGTTATTATTTATCACGGACTATTAAGATGTGGGTCCATAGGTTTGGTTCATAACAAACTTTTTTTGAGCAAGACATATACAGCACGCTAGGTTAATTTTCCATTTTTTCCTGGTCATATACTGTCTAGAAGAGAATTTGTTTTCCAAAAACCAGAGGAGCAGTTCAATACATAAGCACTTACGCCTTATCTTATAGCGGCTGCCATCTAGAAGCCCTTTTATTATGAGCAATTTATTTGATTGGAAATCTTATTTTCAAAATAAGCGTTCAAGAATTTCAAATATTATTATTAAATTGTTGGTAGCTTAAGTTAGTTGAGTAAATCAAAGCGTCCACCCACACCAATCAGCTATGCAGTCACGCTTACATCTTCTGCGCAAGAGGCTTCTTAATTTCACATCAAACAACAACTAGTCAAAGGAAAAGCCTTAGTTCAACGCCTCAAATAATGGATTTACTTTAATTGCTTTTGCACTCATACTTGCTTGCGTCAGAGGAAACCAAAGTCATAATTCACAAGTTTAGTGTGTGACAATATGTTCACACATTCTCATTCAGAAACGTCAAATATATATATTTATTACAAGTAGTGTCACAAATAACTCTCAACCTAACAAACAAACAAAAGCCACCCTTTATAAATATCACACCCTTCAAAGTCTCATAGAGTTCTATTCCACAGCTTTTCATTACTTTCTAAACCAGAACATCAATACTTCAATTGTTTTTGATAAGTCATGAAAAGAGAAAGAGAAGTTGATAGCATAACCATGGCCAACTACTTGATGTTACTTTCTCGTGGAGGTGAATTTGAGACTAGCTACTTGAACTCTTCCAACAACCGTGTCTTTGAGTGCAAGACATGTAACAGGCAATTCCCATCGTTTCAAGCACTTGGTGGCCACCGTGCGAGCCACAAGAAGCCAAGGTTGATGGGAGAGGGTGATAATAGCCAAGTGCTTAATGGTTCACCTCCAAAGCCTAAAACTCACGAGTGCTCAATATGTGGGTTGGAGTTTGCTATAGGGCAAGCTTTGGGTGGACACATGAGGAGACACAGAGCAGCAGCTTCAAATGGAAACATGCAGAGTACTATTTCTATGAATATGAGTAGCACTAGTACTGGTAGCAGTGTTGATAATTCGGCAAACAGGAACAGGAAGAAGGATAACAGCAAAAGAGTTTTGTTTCTGGATTTGAATTTGACACCCTTAGAGAATGATGTGGAGTTTTTGAAGATTGGTCAAGCAACAACTCCATTGGTGGATTGTTTCAATTGAACTTGTGAGAGATCGATGATTATAACTTTTGGAAGGTGGTTATAGTGCAAACCAGATAGGTAGATGAGTACATTTTGCTCCCGTTTGTATTTTACTTTACCGTATATGTATGTAAATTAATTGTTCAGTTCTTGGATATAAGAAATTCTTGTTATTCTTATATAGTTTTAATAAAAAAAAAATATTGTCTGCTAATTTATAAATCAAACCGTTTACGTACCTTCCAACTAAAATATATGGTTTTAACAGGAAACATATGTTCACTTCAAGATTCATGAACTTATTAAAAGGTAGCTAATCAAGGATATTCCATGTGATTAATCCTTTTTTCAATTTTAGATTAGTAAATTTAAATATCTTCATTCCTGACTCGTTCCGTATTTCAGATTATTCCCATAATTAGCTCAAAGGGGAGTCAATTCGTCTAAAAATAATAATAAGGGTTGGATTAACTCCAAAAAAATAAAGGTTTGTATCTGACCACTTGTCTTATTAGTTATATATGCTATCGACCTTCGGCTTCAATGTAATCAGCTAATAACTAATTCACTTCTTTTTTAACTTAGTGATTCTGTCACTTAATACAGAAGAGGCCCTTGTATCAGAATCACAAGTTTTCTATGTATAAAATATAGCAACACGTTGGATTGATTTTCCATTTTCCGTGGTCATACAGTCTAGATGGGAATTATTTTCTATACCAGTGCCGTGCATTCGGATCCAATAACACTTTAATATATATCTAATCTTCGCAGCAGCCATCTAGAAGTCCTTTCATTATAATAAAGTTGTTTCATTCTCACTCTTATTTCAAAATTTATGTTCAAGAATTTTAACGATTATATATTGTTGGTGGCTAGAGTAAGTTGAGTAAATTTAAGCACGGAACACCTTCATAAGGTGTGAGTTCTATGTGAATGAAATTAATCTAACATTAAAAAAGGAATAGACAAAGTGATGATTTTATATATATATGAGTAAAAAGACCTAGCTATCCAATGTAGTTTTGAACTTTATAAACACGATAACCAATGGAGTTCAAGTGCATATGTATTTTCTAAACTGTTTCTTGGTTTCTTTGGTTTTCTTTTAATTTTTATTTTTGTTTTTGTTCCTTATATCTTTGGAATATTACCCCGCAAGTGATGATGAGAAATTTTGATCCTACTACAAGTTACAAATTAAGAAGGTACACAAGGTTGTCCAAAGAGTTGGAATTTCAGTTGATAAAGTACCCCACAAGAGATGGTGACAATTTGAATAATACAGCAAGTTACATCAGGTAGTCACACGAAGTTATATATCTAGAAAATGAGTTTTTTAATTCCAAACCTGTAAAATAACGACAGATTATGTGCAATGGATTGCAAAGTCTCACATATATGTAGTCTGGCAAAATTTCCTTGGTTAATAAGATAATGAACTATGTGCTTATGTACAGCATAACTAATTACAATAGACTTTAGTTCACAGTCATTGTCATTATCGTCACCATCGTTTGGTCACCTTCTGCAGTTACTGTCAAAGCTATTCAGTAGCAATTTCCTACATTTTGTTAGTCAGGTCACTTTAGAGACTTTGGATCAACACGATAATTTTTGTCTGTAACTAAGAGAGATTTCATAATAAATTAAAGGTGATTATGTTTCTCATAGCAAGAGGCAATTTTGTTTCATATAACACATGAATATATGTGGAACTAAAATAAGGAGAGGAGAGGAGAGAGAAATACAAAAATTGGATCCTATCCATTTTTTGTGTATGCATAAGTTATAAAATTATCTCATGTAATATGAGAAATATATTTTCATAAATAAAATTACCTTTATTAGAGTCCAAAAAAAAAGAAGTATCTAATATTACTTTAGATAATTTAATTTAAAGTCCATCAAAACAATATTATTTTGAGATTAAAAAATTAGAATGATAAATACTATTATAACTCTTAAATAAATTAAAATTACAAACATAACATGATTTTCGCCCCAAAATAACATAATTTAAATAAATATTAGACAAAGTTATCTAAAATAATTTTAGAAAACACGAACTCATATAAATTTATATTATATTTCTCTACTAGTTATTCTCTTAAAATAATTATGTGAATAATTATTTGATTTGCCGTTGATTAGAACATGATCTTTCACTGAAATTTACAACCTTTTAAGATGAAAATTCCCCTTTCGTTTTGTTCTAGAGATCTGGTATTTGGCATGACATTGATCTCACAGTTAGCTTGGCGGTGACAGGGAGTTAATATATTTTATTTGCACGTCACTGAAAAAGGTAAACGATTCTAGAAAGAGTAAAGTATGACCAATGGGTACAAGCTTGGTTGTTGCTAGATACATAGTGCGTTGATCCAGATGGGATCTGAGCAGTTCGGTCTAAAAGCTGCCTTTTGGTTCTTGGTCAAAGCTATAACACAAGTTAACCTCCTACCCATCCATGTTTCACACAAACCACTTCAGATTTTATGCTTTGGTATGAGTCTCCAAATTGAATATGACCAGCTTTGTAAGTCAAAATGCGACTTGTAAATTGATGCTTCTACGTTTACCTGTAGCTAGCTAGTTGAGGCTTATCCATATTCCATACGACGATAAGGAAACGTCATATATATATTGAGGCATCTTGTGTCCTCTTTTCTTACATTTTGAGCATTCTTATTATTTCAGTGGAATTATAAATGTTTTGTCCTCATCCTTCAAAATTTTCCCATTAGACCTTAATGATAATTTTATTTGGCAAGCAGACACTTTAAACTGAACTTGCTTCTCTTCAAAATTTGTACATTCTTCTAGGGTCGCAATTTTAAATACCAGCCACCCACCCACATGAATATGTCATGAAAATTTTGTATTCGGATCGATCCATTTACAAATTTGTATTGATAAAAATTGATCTAAAAAAATTCGTGTCATGTCACGTAATTTGCAAACCCGAAATTGACCAAAATGTAATCTTTACATATCATGTCGACCCACATATTAAGTAAGATAGTTTGAGGTTGATAAATTATTCGTGTCGTATCAACTCACAAAATAAGCATATCGTGTTTGTATCTAAAATTTTAATCTGATTTCAAATTTATATTATGTTTGTGTTAGAATGTTATCATGTTCATATCAAATTTATGCGGATTGTATCGATCTGAATTGACGCCTCTATTCTCCAAACACCTGAGGAGGCTAAGAGCTCGTTTGGTGGACATGATAAGATAATGGTAGAATATGATATGGGGTTGATAAGCTCATATCATGTTCTGTGTTTGATGAGCACCTGATTAGCAATATGATAAGATTATGTAGAAGGAGAAAAAAGAAAGAAAAAACAAAATATAATGCAATAAATACAAATATATTGGGTAGCGTGAGGATATATTGGGTAGCATAGGGATATATTGGGTATCCAATATTGGTATCTTATCATGTTGAATCCTAACTCAGCTCTCCCTATAGGATAAGAAATTATGTATTAGATAGGATAAAATGAGACAATAAGATAAACTAATCATATCATATTGACCCATCAAACAAGAGATAAAAGTAGGATATGATAAGTTATCCTATCCTATCTTCTTTATCAGGTGCTCCAAACATGCCCTAAATATCTTGGCATGATATTATATACCATTTTTTTTTTTTACGATTACAAGAGAATGCTATATTTCTGTCAACCGAATGAACCATATTATAATAAACATAAGGAATCTCAAAAGTAGTCTTCGAACATTCATGTCAACCGGTTTAGTAACTATTTATATAATTATATGCAAATTATATATGTCGATGTATGATTGAAGTACCAGTTGACAACACTTGCTCCATTGAGGGTTGTTTTGTGTTCAAATTTGTTTTATCCTTGTATACCATTATATATTATTTAAGAACCAAAAATAAATTGAAGATAAAAAAAATAGGGATAGGATATTGTGACACCCAAGTTATGTTACACTCATGTGACACCCAGTCAATCTCACCGTTAGATCGCTTATGTTGATCCAACGGTTATATTTATTTCCATCTTTGTATGGTCATGATTTTCCAAATTTTATATTTTATATTTATTTCTACCTTTGTATGGTTATGATTTCCCATATTTAATGTTTTCACTTTAAATTTGGGAAATCATGACCATACAAAGATGGAAATAAATATAACCGTTGGATCAACATAAACGATCTAACGGTGAGATTGATTGGGTGTCACATGGATGTAACATAACTTGGGTGTCAGAATATCCTATCTCAAAAAGATATACATCCATATAAATTACACTCAATTTTTTATCGTTATTTTTAATTATATTTAATGACTTAAATTTATTATGTGAAACATTGAATACAAGAGAATTAGCAATTAAGGGGGAAATAATATGTTGTTGCGTGTACACTAACGTATTAACGTATATGAGCAAATTGAAACCCACTTGATTAGTAACTTGGAACCGTTCAGCTACCAATGGCTGTCTTGCTGACTCAGACTCGCATATCATATTTCCAACGTGAGCTGATCTTTTGGAAAGGTGCAACCGTTTTACCTACATCATTTTTCAAATTAATAATCAATCAGGGGCGGCTGTTTGGTATGGGAATTTTACTAGAAATTTTGAAAAAGTGGGATAAAGCAAAATTGTTTCTAACGTTTGGAAGAGGAAATTGAAAATAATCTTTGAAATTTTTTTTTCTTATCATTTCATTTTACACGTTATATTCTTAAATAAAAATATCATATGATAAATTGTATTTTTATTTTTTCATAGTATCAGTAAAATTGACCAAACATTCTCCGAAAAATTTTAGATTTATCAAACATTTTTTCGTAACTTACTCGGGAAAAAAAATTTCCCATCATATTCCCAAATTTTTTTTTTTGGTAAAAAAAAAATTATTTCTTTTACCAAACACCCTCTAAAATAAAATACATAAAAAAACATGGATTCAAACGGTAGAGAATTTTTCTAATTTGAAAAAAAGTATACCGAATTTGGTACTCTGCAGTATTAAAAAAAAAACCGATCTTTTGACAAAAAAAATAGCGCAAGTCATAAAATTGTTTTCTATTGTCCAGTATTCGTCGTTTGAGTGAACAAAAATATCTATATATTTTTTTGGTTAAAATAACAAACGTTTTTCACGGCTTCAGGTTTAATAAAAGCTAAACATTCCTTGCATCATATTTTGCACTCATCAGCTAATTTAAAAAATTCCACAATCAACTTCTCGCTTATGCACACAAAATCTTAATGAAAGGGTCAAACTCCACCTTTTTTAGAAGCTAGCGCATAGCAATAATAAGTTGGTAGGTTGGCATCGACATAGAAAGGAGAGGCACAAAATTGATGAACAATCAAAGACTATTGAATGACTAGGTGAAGGTGGGGGTGGCTGAGAACAGACAACCCAACCCAACCCAAGTAACATGAACTCTGTTTGGCCGCAGTGGTCGGTGTGAGTGTGACGGCGTGAAAGCCCAAACAAGGTCCAATTCCTTCTAACTCGTAGACTACGAGTCGCAGTCTGGTACCACTGGTAGTAACAATCTGTTTCTTCATACAGAGACCCAAATTCAAATAGCATCAAGTTCTTCATTTTGGGATAAAATCTGAGTTTTCCCTGTACTACTACTTTTGCAATCTTACAAGGTTTGCTATCAATCATTGGAATGTTATTAGTTATTAAATAGGGAGTTACTATTCTTACAAGTTTTGCAATCTCTTGTGTTGGTGAGACAAATAAATGGAGTCTACAATTTAAAAAAGAAAAAAAAAGTTGGCACAAAATTCAATGAGTGTATAACATAAGATAGCTATATGTAATGAAATTATGAGACAAATATTTCTCTATTAAATATTATGTACATTATTATATCTATATACAATAATAAATACAAACTATATAAATTAAGAAAAAATATTTCTATTTTTGCTGGAAAAAAAGCTTTTCTGCCATACTCACTTTTTATATGAGTGTGACAGAAAAATTAAACTCATAAATTAAATCAAAAAATACAAATTTTAAAATTGACGATAACTTTTTTTTGTTTGGAAATACATATATTGCAAATGTCTTCCCAAGAGTACTTTTCCAAGGATTAAATTTTCAACATTGGAATTCAAACTACTAAAGCCAACATTGGGGTGGTTGCTTCCTTTAATGCAAACATGCACCATATTTAATGGGTACCGGGCTCAATGATTGCGCAACAACCTCAATAAATATTTCCCATTAATCATTGAAGAAGATTATGAAAGAAGGTGGACACAACTCCTCTCACCTTATATAAACACTTGAAGACATTTGTAAGAGATTTTGAAGCTTAGAGCTTGGAATTTGAGAGAGAAGTTTGAGTGTGACCTCTTTAGAGATGTTTGAGATTACCACCATCTTTGGTGAAGTTTGATTGCACCTCTAGTGTAACTAGGGAAGCTTGACTCTTTGTAATCTTTCTTTTCTACATAGTGAAAGATTTTCTAAGCTAGTGTCTCGTGGTTTTTACTGAAGAAGGTTTTTCACGTTAAAAATTTGAATATGTCTCCCTGTCTCTCTCACTTTTGCATTTTTTCATTTTTGTTGTGTTAGCCGACCTGGTGACTACAGACTAACCTTCGAGTGCCAACCTACGAGCTCGTCCCAACACACCCACCCTGTATAAAATATGTTTTCTGCCAAGTTTAAATACTCTTTACTTTTTGTGACAGTTTATTATTAGATAAATCTATACAAGAATTTTTAGATTGCTTGACCTAATAGAATCCCACTTCTTTCACTCCCGATAACAGATCTTACACCTTTTTAACAGCAAAAAAACCTTTTAAATAATTTATAGTTTGCTAAGCGTGGATGTGAATTCTTGGCAAGGAAACAGGGGAAATCCAATTTGCTAAACAAAAGGAAGAAGTGATCCATGTTGTCTTCTTCCTTATGATCCTTATCCTTAGGGAACATTTTGTAATACAAGTTGGCATATCCTCTATGGGAAAATTCCAAGTCAGTATGGAACCTAAAATTTCAAAATCACGACAGCAGGAAAACTCTCCTACTGAGCTGTTAACTACCGGTGTAGATAGCATGTTACAATACAATAATGTACAAAAAGATCGACGATTGTAAAGCATCTATCCTCAGCGCTAGTCTGTGAGCATATTTTCCAACAGAGTGTCTCTCTTTCATACGAAACAAAGCTTCTCTAAAGTGAGTAGTTTGTCATCAAAGTGAGCAAGAAAGGATGTATCTATTGTTAGAAATATAATGTACATCATCTAAGGGCATAATTGCATCCTAATTTACAGCTAAAAAATTCACATATATCCTTAAATCTAAAGAGAGTTTAAGATCTGGATGCACTATAATATTTGCTTACTTTAGAGGAGCTTCATCCCTTCCATATGAGTGAGGGTGATAGGAATGCCCCACATTTAAAAATTACAAATTCCTTACACTAAGGATGGGTGAATTATGCATCCAAGTTGTGTTAGGTTCCGTTAATTTTTTAAAGCGGCCCATCCAGCAGTTTCGAAGTTGAAAAACTTAAGAGTTGTGAAATAATAGTATTTTAGGAATTTGGGTGGTGCAAGTTGTAACCGAAAATAATAAAACATGTTATCAAATTATGCAAGTCTGGGGGGGCATTTCAACCAAATTTTCTAATCAGAGCCAAATTCGCCAAACGTATCCTTAGTTAGGACAGATTAGAAAAAGGAAAAAACAAACATACACAGTATGTAGAAGGAAGAAAGTTGTTGTGGGGGTCTATGAGAGTGAGTTATGAGGATCGTTATCGTCGGAGTGATCAAGGTTACCGAACTTTTGTTTGAAGGAATCCTGGCGCTGTAACCACATCATGTGACCCTGAAAATATAAAAAGAAAAAAGTAATGTTCGTGATAGGATAGAGGATTGATTTGATTGAGGAGAGGAGAGGAGAGGAGAATACCTGGAGAGCAGCAGCCCACGCGATTAGAAAAGACGCCACCCAGAATTTCTTGTCCTTCACCACATTTTTCAATTCCATTTTCACACAGCAGAGGAGAAGAGCACGGCCACACGACAAACTGCAACATGACGCAACAGGCCTTCCTTGGTGTTTTCTTATGGGTACGCCACCAAGCCCAATAACATACTTTCGCTCTTAAGGCCCAAAAACTTTATTCCCTCAAATTTTTGGTTCCATTTGAATCCAAGTCTTTTTATATATTTTTCTTCAAATTTTTACACCTTACTTTTTCTAAAAAAGATATTTAGTATAACAGTAGTACCAAAGAAACCTTCCCACTTATGAGAGCTGATTGTACTCTGTTTTTTTTTTTTTATTTTTTGGTAAGTTGATTGTACTCTGTTTTATCTGCAAATTCAGGTACCCAAGGTTTTTCTGAATTGTGAGTGTAAAAATAAGGATTGATTGTAGGCAACCTTAAGGCTTGCTCTTAGGTATTTTCATACCCTCCAAAAATAAGAAATAAAAATATCCCAGATATTCCTCTAAGATTCTACCTAAGATAAATTTATTTGATTAATAGTCCTAGGTTGAAATCGTGGTGACAAATGTTTGATGTTATGTTTTGTATTCCGTTATTTTTTAACCCTTTATTTATTTATTTTAGTTTATACATATGTTGTATGGGAAAAATATCTATCATTTTAAGGAATATAAACTTATATCATTTTATATCTTAATCGTTGATTTTCGTCCATCAACGGTTATAATCTATTGGGTCAAACTTAATGGGCTAAATTCATTATTAATTAATTAATAATTTTGATCCAATAAATTATAACCGTTGATGAACGAAAATCAATAATTAAGATCTAAAATGATATAAACTTATATCCTTTAAAAGAATAGATGTTTTTCACTTATTCCCGTGTTGTATACATTGTGTACTGTTCTATGGATCTTCTATATCATTTTTAGTTTTTTATTTAATCCGGAAGTTGGAAGCGAAAATTATGTTATCAAAGTTCTTGTCAATTTACCTAAATTCCCATCAAAGAATGACTAAGGTGTGCATGATATTATTATTTTTAGAGAGAATATTTTTTTATTCTTGTGCTTAGAAAGAGTTTCAGGAAAAACAAAATTCATAACAATTTATTTGAATTCAAAGAATATATGTTTAATAAATAATGTATATTTAATCCTAATAATATATATGTATTTAATAATTAATACAGCAAGAAATTAAGCAAAAAAAAAAAATTATTTTATTTTTATTAGTTTAATTTTCTAAGTTTCCGGTTTATTTTCTTAAAACAAACAATTTTATCAAAAAAAATTCCTAAAAATTCCTATTCTCCGTACTAAAAATAAAATAAAATTTAGGTACTGTGAATTTCACGCACTCTTAATTTGTTCCTCCCCAAATTAATATTTAACCCGCTAAGACGAAAGAATAAAAAGAGAGAGAGATCAATACTTTAAAAAAAAAAAGAAAAAAAGAGAGAGAGAGATAAAGAAAAATAAAATAATCAAAGACATAGTTAACTAGCAAGCAAACAAATTACGCAACCAGAAGCAGAATTTGTGTCCTGCATCTTGACATTGAACCAGAGGCAACTAAAATTTGTTTTGTCAAAGTTAGTTGACAACAAACATGAAGATGGGAGTAAAAGTCCATTTTTAAATTGTAACAGTCATATTGAATGATCTTTCATAGTGGAGGCAGTTCGCTTGACAAGTAAAGAGAAAGCTTCTCTCTCAAAGTGTAGGCTGTAGTGTCGGCAAATTCACAAGTTTGGTCTTGATATCCTGAATCATGCTGGTGGCACAAGGGCATATCAATCTGCACTTGATCTTCCATATCGATAACTACATTATGTAGTATGCAGCAAACGAGAATAATTCTTGGTAACTTGTGCTTATCAGGCTTCCACATCACACCTTCAATTATCTTCCACATCCACTTCAGCCTAGCCAATGCTCTCTTGGCCACCATTTGGGTTGCAGCAAGCCTCTTATTAAACTCAACCTGAACATTTGAGAGGCCTTCACCTTCATAAGGGGTAAGAAGCCATGGCAAAAGGGGAAACCCTGTATCCCCAACTACATAATCCCTTAAGACTGTTCCATCCGGGTGTATTTTCTTACCCCCATTCAACCTCTTCCCTTCTTCAACAAGTTTGAAAAAAGCTGAGCTTCGAAGCACATGGTCATCACTCACACTTCCTGGCCATCCAGTAACTATGTCACGGAATCTCAAATCCGGATCCACAATGGCTTGCAAGACCATGCTGCAATTCTTCTCATGATCAAGCCATACATTGTTTAGAGAGTCTGTAGCGGGCAAAGTCATCAGTATGTGTGTGCTATCAATTGCACCACAACAATTAGAAAGGCCCTGTATATTCTCAAACTTGGATTTAATCACTTCCATGGTCGTTTCAGTCGAAGGCCAACTAAGATGGCGGAGCCCTTTCTCTTCCATTGCTTCCACAAACCGCCATGTTACTTGGGAAACAGTTGACTGGTTCATCCGAAATGAGTCGCCAATGGTTGACAGTGACTCACCAGAGCTAAGCCTTCTAAGAGCAACAGCTACTTGGTCATTCAAAGACAAACGCTTACCTTTTAAATCAACGAAATTTGGTGATCTGGCCAGTATGTCTTCTTCCACAAGAGAACATATATAGTTGAATGTCTTTCTTGAAATCTTGAAAACAGACTCAAATTTCTCTACATCTTTACATTGTGATAAAGGTCCTAAAATTAGCAAAATTAAAGCAAGAGAAATCAGATGGGCAATGGGTTTCACAACAAAAAAATAGTGTTGTATAAGTTCAGCTCATTGTGCAGCTTCTTCTTAAGTAAAATAAATAAAATGTAGTCCCCAAGCCACAAGAAGCAACGACAGATTTGATCTTCTTTATGTTCAGACATAGGTATAATCAAATTAGAAGTAAATGTGCAAATTCCTTGTAACCAGATGGTTTATCTAAAAGTCAATTTCTCTAAAAGATATGTTAGTAAAATCCTTCTCTTCCACAATGCAATCTACTCAAAGTCACAAACGCATAAATATGACATAATATGAACACCTAACTCGTCTGAGACAGAATTTTGAATAAGAAAATCAGCCCACTTCCTGTTAAACCCGACTAGCGAGTGTGGGGTGGAGGAAATCCTTATACGCAGTTTGAATAAGAAAATCAGCATAGTAATAAATTGAATGAAGGGCTTTAACTGAAAAAATTGGAAAAGGGTTTGTACCTCTGCATTTCTGATTTTTTTTTTTTCTTTCAAAACCTCTTCAGCTGTCAGCTAGATTACAAAGTTTTCAACTCATAAGAATGAATTCTTTTGTATTTGACAGTATAATTGCAAAAAAAAAATTCCCATTTATCTTTTTAGGAACAGGGATATTGATTTTCTTCAAGGGCTTTAGCAGAATATCATAAGCACATTGTCACATTTAGCCTAAGAATTTCTCCTGAATCTATATACTTCTCAACAATTCAATAAGCCACGCAGAAAAAACCTATTAAATAAGTAGTTTTATTAGTTAGAAACCACAAGCTTGTAATTAACTAAGAATCAGGAAACTTCACTTAAGTAATCTCACTGCTCGTGTAATTGGAAATCTGTCAGTATGAAGATGAGATTGCAAATTATTTGACACTTCAAAGCAGAAATTGGGAAGAGACAAAAAGCTGGATTATGGGAGGATAGATCATTAGTGATGAGATTGAAACAATGAAGATGAAAGTCAAAAAACGAGTATTGACATCTATGCATAACAACAGAAAGAAGCTGCCACAATTCATGTGAAAATAACGCAGAAGATGCCCAAATTGTTATGTACAGTGAATAATTGCAACAAGTAAAGATAAAGAATATAATGTCGATGCTATAACTGGAATCACACCAATGTTCTAAAGAAATTGGGCAAAGAGAAGCTTTAATAGTGTGACTGGTAACATCACAACAGGAGTTTTCACAATTTGGAAGGTTAAGCTACAAAATAACAAATAGTCAAATAGAGATATGTGAACCAAAATACGAGTAATTGAACAAAATCATAACCAAAACTCTTAAGATAGTTCATGAGTAAGAAATAAATACCATATGCAACAGAAACATATTTAGGTTAAAGGTAAGAGGTTACATTCTTTATTAAGTAACTCAGCAAGATGTATGCTCAAAAAGAACAACATGAATGTGAAAATTCAAGTAAAGCCAAAGATATTAACAGAATCAATATCAACAAAACCAAATTCTTTAGGGACGGAAAGTGAGCAAGTTTCTAAGCATGGAGGAACAAATCTGGAATCATTATCATCCAATTACCAGAAAGCGTATAGCTTCTTTGCCCAAATTTCGCTAGATGAAAAATAACAGACGAACTAACTACCCCTCTTGGAATACAATACTTGTTTGTCACAATATCAAGAATCCATTCAAAAGAAGTAACATTAAAAGCAATATCAATATGGTGCAAGAAAAAGAATGAACCGCACAAGAACTACCGCAGAGGATATTGTAGTGGTACCTGAAATTCTTCGGGAGAAGTGATGCCACCAATCGAAGGGTGGCTTGAGTTGGGAGTGCAATGGGATTTTGGTGGCATCTTGGCAATACTTGTTGTCAGCCTTCTTCCTCTTCTTGATCCCTCTGATGGAACCCATTCACAACACAATATACTTCGAAGCCAACAACACCCACAAAAGGAAATATGAAAAGATGAAGGAAATAGAAAAGCATATACAAAAAAAAATGGAAAACAATACGTGAGTAACGCACGCTATAATATATATATAGTGGTGAAGGGAATCAAAGAATGTAAGAAAAGAAAGATGAGGAATAAAAATGCTGAGGCCAAGTCCAACGAGACCAGTCTTCTACTGCACCCTTGAACAATTGAAGACTTCGTCGTTTATGGTCTTTTCATCATTTTTAAGGCCTTTTTTTTTTTTAAGAAAAAAAAAAAAAAAAAAACTGAATTTACATTAACAAATAGGAAAAAAATGTTTGTCCTTTTCAATAATACAATTTATGTCATTTCACTCTCATAAGAGATGGGATCCACACCTTTATATTTTTGTGTCCACTCTCTTCTCTTTTATTTATCTCTTTCTCTCGACACAACTTTATATCATTTAAAATGATATACAATTTTTGCTAAGAAAAATGTTAGTTAGATTATACTTTTACTATGTTCATTATTATTCATATCTCATAAATAATATTCACTTTCATTTCAAGTATCATTTTTTGCCAATCAACTCGTGGTTGTTCAATTGAAAGGAGTTGTTTTGGGTTTGATTTGGAGAATTGACAAAACTTTGGTGCACGGCGAGAAATTATATATATATGTGTGTGATGATCATAATAATAATAATAATAATAATAGGTGTAAAGTATATTTTTTATCTCAACAAAAATCACGGGACTCATTTTAGTCCTTTAAAAAGAAAAATTGACTTATGGTCTTTCCAAAATTTAAAATAAATTCACTTAGTCAAAATCTAAAGAAGATCCATGTTAATTCTTGGGTCTATTTTAAATTTCATAGAAATCACGATTCGATTTTTTTCTTAAGGAACGAAATTAGGTCGTGTGATATTTGTTGAGGATACAAAAGACACTTTACTCTAATAATTAAAATAATAATTTATAATTAAAACAAAAAACAAAAAATTAAAATTTAACATAAAATTATATTTAAATACATATACTCACAATTTATTGTAGTATAAAAAAGTAGAAAGAAATAAAGAAATTTATTAAAAATAAAAATTAATTCACTTAATTCTTACTTTATAATATTTTATAATGTTGATTTCTTTTGTAATTGAATTTGTCTAAACTTTATAACAATTTTTTTTAATATATGTAATTCAACATAAAGTATATAAACGTAAAAAAATAGAATATATTTTCTCTGAAAACATGCATCAATAAAAAATTAATTTAAACATTTATGTCCCAAAACGGAAAAAGAAAACTCATAAATCTGTATAAATTGAAATATCCTCCCTTTAAGGCTAATAAAAGATAGAAATAGCTCATAATTAACATAAAAAAATAATAAATATTATATTCAGAGTTCTAAGATTTTTGTTTTTTTAATAAAAACATCACCAAGTCAAAAAGTGAAAATCTATGTCCAGGTCAAAAAATAATAAATTCCAAGTGACAACCATTTCATTATCATGAAATAAATAAATGTAGAAGATAAATAGTAGGAAAGACCAATCTTCATCCTGGACATTTTATAGCTTCGAAAATCAGAATTCGATCATAACATAAAATCAAAAGAATTTCAATTGTGCATTTAATTTTTCAAATTCGACCATAAACCACGCCAAATAAACAAGGAAAAAGTGTTTGCCATTTTAAATGACATAAAGTTATGTCATTTTAAGAGAGATAGACACAAAATGAATTTTTTATTTAAAATTTAAATTAAAAAAAATCACTCATTTTCTCTCTCATGATTTTTATTTTTGTGTCTATCTCTTTTCTAAAATAATATAACTTATGTCATTTAAAATAACAAACATCAAATTCAATAAAGAATTATTAGATCAAAAGAAATGATTAGTTAAAAATACCGTGAACATGTTACACCAATTAAACAAGAACACGATGTTTGCATCAGTAAAAGCCAGTGGAGGCGTGGGATGTCGCAGTGGAAGTGTGAGATTATAAAGATTTTTTTATTTATAAATTAAATTGATGTATAGTCATATAAACCAATCTTAAAAAATCGAACCGATCCGGAAATTGGTGAACTGATCATATAACCGGTCCAGTTTTCATATTGGACCGGCCATGTTATAGAACCGGTGTGACCCGGCCGGTTTTCGTAAAAACCGGTAACCCGGTCAGTTCAAACAGTGACCCGGCCCGGTCTATAAAAAAATTAATTAATTTTCATAAATTAATATCTTCTTTTTTTTACTCTCAAACTCAAATGATTTGTTTTCTTTTGAAATATTTGAGTGATTGGTAGCTTATTAACTTACATAGATTATGTACCTACAACATTAATATTATATTGATTATGCAATATGTAGGAAATTTTGATTTGATTTATAGGTAGAGATGTCGTTTACTGAACCTGAAACATTAATATCACAAATATTATATGTTTGATTGATCTTTTGTTAGACAATGATATGTAATTTATTAATTTCATATTAAAATATTTGAATTTGGTATATTTTCTTACAAGTATTTAAGTTATTTATAGTTTTTTTAATATAAATTGTAGATTTACATATACTTATTGGGTCATGCGATTGAACCAGTGATCTACTAGTTGAACCAGTGACTTAGTACCTCGACCGGGTCAATAATCGGGCCGGGTTTAAGAACATTGATATAAGCACTCAGCTTTTAACTTTTCGAGAATTCACCTTATCGTTTGCACTATTAACCAAGGGAAAAAAGTTTTCGATGTTACTTTAGATAACTTTATCTAATGTTCATCAAAACAACGTCGTTTTGGAGTTGAAAAATTAAAAAAATGGAGTGATAAAGACTACTGTAACCCTGAAATAAATTAAAATTACAAAAATACCATGATTTATGTCCGAAAACGACGTCGTTTTGATGAACATTAGATAAAGTTATCTAAAGTAACATCAGAAAAAACAAACCCATTGACCAATTGTCTTTATAAAATTATTACTGAGGTGAGATTATATATTAAAGTTGAAATTTAAATTTAAAATACGGGGGACGATAGCCCCTTTAATCCGCCACGATCTTAAGAATTATAAGCATGAAAAAAAAAACTCTTAGAATAAGTATCACATTTAACTACCAGATGTGAATACTCTTAAAAAAAATGTCTTTATTGTTGGACCATTTTTGGTTTCACATCGTTATGATTTTTTCTTAAACTTAAATAAGGGTAAAAGGTTTTTTTTTTCAAACCATAAATACAAATAAATTGAACTGAGAATATAGAAATAATTCGACCAGATATAGATTATTATTTTTTTGAGTTTTTTTAAGGTATCTTTCGACCGATATTCGAAGACTAAATCTTTCGAGACATAGAGATCATCGAAGTGGATTTTGTCTCTATAAACAAAATATTTTCCATACACATGACTGAGGAATTGTCAATATATTTAAACGACCTAACCATCTACCAACTATGCCGCTCTTTGGTTCAAATATAGATATTAGATATGAACGAAAGAAAAATAATTAACTACAAGGAAATATTTTTCAATATAAGAATTGGTATATAATGAATTCAACAATTTCAGCTTAATTCTCATTATATAAATCAAAAGGCATCATCATAAGATCCAAATCTCAATGAAAAAAAGGGGGTATGGTGTAAATGATGGACACTACGGATTTAATTAGATTGAACATTGGTATGAAACTTACCAAGTGAGAGAACTATCAAGAAACCCTGGAATTCACAACGGGCAATACTCATACCTAAAAAATATTGAAATATTGTTTTTGGTTTTATAAAGGGTTAAATTATATTCTCCTTTCTAAAGATATGTTCAAATTACATTATGTTCTTCTCTTTATTTCGAAAAATTATACTTCCTTCTGTGAAGAAAAAAGAAGAAGAAGAAGCGATAAACAAGCATACTAGCAGCTATAAACAATTATGAATGAGTCTCTTAGGTGCATTTTTTTCTTGCTTAATAACTTACGATGTCATCAATACCTATTTTTAAAACTCTTATTATAAACTTTGTGATTTCAAAAGATAAAATGAAGTTTTGAATACTCCATATTGTCTACTTTGAAATTTCATTCAAAATCTTCATTTTATTTTTTTAAGTCCTAGAGTCAATAATAGAAATTCAAAACTAGCAGACAATGATGTTGAGAGTCACAGGGAGAGAAAATTTATCCTCAAAAGGCTTTTAGATGTTGCAAATTAGCCTACCGAGTTGGTCGTCTCATCTCCTCCTAGCCACTACGGTCACAAAAACACAATTCTTGAACCTGTGTGGCTTGGCGAAGCCTAAACAATTTTGGATGCCAACAAATATACATGGAATATGTTAGAGAAGTATAAAAGTCATTGATGGGCCTTCACTTCACAGCCTAAGCTTTTGGGTTGAATTGGTTCTTTACATATTGGTGTTAAGGGTTCGATCATCGGCGTCCTCTACTTTCTTTCGTGAAATTTCTTAGCACAAATAAGCGGGTACGTGCATTATCCACCTTTCATGACGAGTTGCTCTTGTTCGAAGGGCGTGTTAGAGAAGTATAAAAGTCATTAATATGCCTTCACTTAACAGCTTAAGCTTTTGACTTTAATTGATTCTTGACTGAATAATAATTCAATTTCATTTCATTTCAATTTGAATAAAGAACACAAGGGATAGATGCAGTAGTAGCAACAAGTAACTCAATATATTGTTCCATCCCAAAATGAAACCAACTTCAGTGACTTACAAGTCACAATATCTGAGCCTTTAAGACGTTCCACACCTTATCAACTGCATCAGAACTTCTGAAGCCTTCATCCTCCCACTTGGACGTTCATTCTCTACCCTTTGGTTTCTGATATCTGCAGATCCATAACCCTCCAAAGACCCTTCCAACACTCCAAAACTAGAAATAGAAAATGGCAAAGAATCCCCATTCTCACCTAACTCCCTTGCATCATTTCCTTCACTCTCTTCATTTTGATCCCTTTGCATCATCCTCTGCCTACTCTTCTCCTCAGTCTGAGTCGAAGCATTTGCAGCTTTCCTAGAAAATTCCCTGCATGTCTGTGCCATGCAAAGCTTGTAATCACACTCCGTGCTAGAATTGTTTGTTTCAGTGGAACTTTTGGAGCTTGGTGTTGATATTGTTTCATGGGATCGAAAGCTCAAACAAGTTTCTATGAGTTGAGTTCCTTTGAGGACATACTCGTGGCCACTACTTGGGTAAATGAAATCGTTCTCTGACAAATCTTGCCACACATACCCATTTTTGTAGCTCCTAGAATGATGATTATGAAGGATCACATCAGTGTTGTTTTATAAATATTATTGGTTGCAAATAAAATACAGTTTAAACTTGTGAATTAAATAAGACATATGAACCTAACGGGATTCCAGGTCTTAAGATTTTTAAGAGCCCATAATTGAATATACCTTTTTGTAGACCAAGAATACATGTTGGCCATTCCTTGTCCTCGGAGAAAACTCAATCTATTTATCACATCTGATCAGAAAAAATAGGGTAAAAATTGTAAAAAAAAATTAAAAAAAATAGGGTTAAATTATATCTAAGTATAAATCAAATTGAATATCTCTATCTTCCTTTACTGTGGATGCATTTACCTTTCAGACATAGCATTCCATGTGGAGAAGAGATTAGAACCTCCATGAGATGTGGATGCTCAAGTTGCCCATTTCCAGAAAGGTAGTATATTACTGGAACTTTCAGCTCAGTTGCTTTATGCTTTGGTTCAATCCTTGCTTCCCTTTCTAACATTTTCCTTCCTGCTGATTTGGTTCCCATTTTTGTGAATAAAAAAGAAGAAGAAGAAGAAGCGAATGAAGGTAATGAAAGCTAAGCAGAATGAGAGGGTATTATTATTACATTTGGGAAGAAGGGTGTAGAATTGTTGTTTGTTCTCACGTACAGAACAGAGGGACATTCTTGGCATTTTATAAGCGAAGGAATATTATTCCTCTTTTGTTTACATTTGGCTAATGAGGTGATATGTACCAACAAGTGGAATGGCATGCATATATCATAGAACATGCTCACGGACCATAGTGTGCAGAGGACAAAATTATCATTTTCTTCATATGTAGTCAGAAGTAATCCCGTGAAACTATCACACTGAATTCCGGGAAACAAATGGACAATTTTCTCACAACCAAGCAGAACGCGCTTAAACTAGTGACAACTTGCAAAGAAAGCCCGGATTACTATTCTTTCACACATAAGATTCACAACACAATGTTTGACTAAATGTGAAGAAAACCTCAAATTACAACTATATATATCAAACTGATGAAAGGGCATTCTTCAACCATGATTTCTAGATTTTGTTTCTTCCAATCTCTTCTTTGTTTTTATAAAAGACCAAAAGAATTCTGGGATCAAGAAAAAAGTGGTATAAAGATAACAAAATTGTTTGTTAACATGTTCAATTATGAATACTAGCCTCTATAAAATTTTTAGAAACAAAAACTACAGCCAAACTGTCTACAAGAAGGAAAAAACAATCATATATTTTTTGCTTTTCTGCATGATTTAGTTTGCGATTGAAGAGGATCTGTGTCAATTCTTTGGGCATGCTGATAACATTTTCTTTTTAGAATAATAGACAAATCAATAAGAATTTATAAAAAGAATATATAATTATTCTTGATGCACATGATTTGTTCTCACAGACACACTACGGGGTTTAATTTGACGTACACATGACTTGTGGAGATAAAAGAAAATGAGGAACTTGTAAAAGACAACACACACCCAACTTTGCTAGACAGTTAACATCATTATAAAATATCCCAATTGTCTGATAATTCACCATTTATTCATTTTTTTTTTCTTTCCAGTGTTGAAACCTAACCACATTGGATTACCAAATAACGAATGAGGAATGACCAAGAATTAGAATCTTTTTAAAATCAACAACTAAGATTTTTTTTGTAAGAGGTTGTAATTGAAAAGAGGTTGTAAATATAAATGTCCCTCTTATTTATTAAATGGGTAAAAGATTTCTCCGGTCAATGAAGATAAGTTATCTCCAGTGAGCGCAAAACGATTTTGAGACGGAATTCAAGGTGTTTTTATAATTATAATATATTGCAGGGTTATATTACTCTTTATCATTATAATTTTTTAATCTTATAACCCAAAACGACGTCGTTTTGAACTCACTGGAGATAACTTTATCTCCGGTGACCAGAGAAATACTTTTCTTTTATTAAATATATGTGTGGAAATAAAATAAATGATGTTATCAATCATATTTTTTTCTCAAAAACTCTTCTTGATCACAATTTTTTTTGTTTAAAAAAATATTTTGAGAAATCGGGCTTAACGTCATTGTAACCCTAAACGTCCTGACTCCTGATCATAACCATAACGCATGTATTGAAGTACTCAAATAGCTTGAACATCTAAAATTATCAAACCTTTGAATCAATGTTAATAAATCCGAACTAGTCATTAACGGGTACTTGTTAATGGGATTGAACAGCTTCAATTAAATTTATATAAAAAAAAGTAATATAAAAAGGGCGAGTTTGGAGAAGTGGAAGGACACGAGTTTAAATCCAGAAGATAATTTCTTTGCACATTTGCAAGCGTAAGAATATAAGACTGCTTACAAAAATTGGTCTTTCAATTCCTAAGACTTGATCCATTTCTTATGCCCGAGGGAAGGTCAAAATAAACTATGTTGTCGATAGAAGTAGAACAAACTAAAACTGCGTTACATTATTGAACACCTGAATCTCTAGCAAATTAAACGAAACATGAATTGAGATTCGAAAGATTTTATTTGATTAATTTCTCAAGTTACAAAAAAATAAAAATAAAAGAACACTCAATAGTTCATCAACCTTTGATTTCCTTACAGTTTATTACGTAAATAAACATGTAAAGAAGGGAAGGGATGGCGAGCACACACTTAACGATCCATGCTGCACGCAAGAATGACACTCACTTGAATGAAAAAAGCAGCCGAAAGACAGTGCAAGCAAGGACGAATTAAGCAAATTAAAAGATACGAAATCCTTAATTGTCAGGCAGACATAGGAAATCGCTTGGGGCTTTCTTTGAGCAAAAATTGAAAAGAAAGGTAAATGAGACTGGAATGTTGATATTAATGCCCATAACGTTTGCTTTAAGGGCAGTGCAGAGGCAGACTGCCGCGTCAAAAGCAGCTAGTCCTTCAAAAAAAGAGCAGCAAGGTGTCTTTTGTGCTCCCGTAGAGAAGTTAAACTTCCCATCTAGCACACTGGAACATACGCTTAGTTTAAGTGAGTCACGAGGGCACGATGAAACCGAAGGATCGGGTTTTGGCGGTTTTGGGGGATTTGGTTTATGCGGGCTCGAGGGCTTGGGCTTGGGGCTTGACGGTTTTGGGGGACACTTCACTCGTGCGGAGACATGTGCAAAGAAGAGAATATTGAGTGTGAGGAAAAGGGCAAGGGAAGAACTAGTTTTCGGAGCCATCTCAAATCCTATGTATATCTAATCTATGTATGTTTCCTTCTTCGATTAATGAATCGCAAGTAGCACTGCTATTAAACTTTTTGGTGTAAAGTACTACTAGTTAACTAGCAGGGCATAAAAAAATGAGCGTCGGTGAAGATGAGAATTGTTTGTGTGAATGGTGGCTTTTATAGTGCTCATGATGTTGTGGGGTTGATGAGTTGTAAGAATTTACGTGAAGTTTTAGCCTAAAAAGTAGAACGGGTCTTAGACTCTTAGCTATATTAAGGCAAAGAATTAACCACGTTTTTTTAATTTGAAAATTTTAGTGGGCATTAGGGCATAGCAAACGATGATTCACAACACAATGTTTGACTAAATGTGAAGAAAACCTCAAATTACAACTACATCAAACTGATGAAAGGGCATTCTTCAAATTCTTCAACCACGATTTCTAGATTTTGTTTCTTCCAATCTCTTCTTTGTTTTTGTAAAAGACCAAAAGAATTCTCGGATCAAGAAAAAAGCGGTAAGGATAAAAAATTTGTTTGTTAACATGTTCAATTATGGATACTAGCCTCTATAAAAAATTTAGAAACAAAAACTACAGCCAAACTGTATACAAGAAGGAAAAAACAATAATATATTTTTTGCCTTTCTGCATGATTTAGTTTGCGGTTGAAGAGAATCTGTGTCAATTCTTTGGGCATGCTGATAACATTTTCTTTTTAGAATAATAGAAAAATCAATAAGAAATTATAAAAAGATTATATAATTATAACATGATTTGTTCTCACAAACACACTATGGGGTTTAATTTGACGCACACATGACTTGCGGACTTAATGAAGAAATGATAAAGAAGTAGGATATTCATCCTACCAAATTTTTCTACTACCACTTCACTATTACTCTAATTACCATTGGATTCAAAAGTTATTTTTTTTCTCTCTCTTCATTCAACTTTTTCTCTAATTCATTGGTAATTAGAGTGATAGTAGAAAAATTTGATAATATGAATATCCTACCTCAATGATAAAATAGAAAGGGAAGCGGAAAGATTCTACCTGCAAGAACACATTGAGATAAAAATAAAAAAAAATAAAAAAAAAAATAAGCAACTTGTAATAGACAACACACACCCAACTTTGCTAGACAGTTAACATCATTATAAAATATCCCAATTGTCTGATAATTCACCATTTATTCATTTTTTTTTTCTTTCCGGTTTTGAAACCTAACCACATTGGATTACCAAATAACGAATGGGGAAAGACCAAGAATTAGAATCACAGCTCCCTACCACATTGGACCCAACATCCCAATTACATGACCCAAGGCACGAGCTTATTTTATCCAACTTAACCCTATTTGGCCCAAATGGAACTACCATATGGGACCAAATCAAATCCTTTGAACTCTCAACCCATTCGAATTCCAAACATCCCGTTCTCCACCTCAACTATGCCACCTCTTGGATGGAATGGATTAGAGAGGAAATAAATGTGCATGTTTCCAAGACTAGTTGCTTTATGACAGGCCAACCGGTTATTCCTTAATAAAAATTTTTTTTGCTCACCCATGTCTCCACTTCAATCGGCAAATTTTTTGCTTACCAAATAATTTTTCGTAATTTACCTATTATATTTTGAATTTTTTTTTCTTTAGTAATAAAAAATTTCTTCCATACCAAATTGAGAGTGTGTGATTGTGAGTCTTAGGGATGTGAAGAAAAAAATCCAAATTATCCAAATTGTTTTAGAAACTAAATCAAACAGGTTAAAAAAAACCGGTTTTTTTAAATATTTTTTTAAGGGTAAAGATCCGGTTACAAATTATTTTTTATAAATTTTGCAAATTACACTATGTACTCCCAGGACAACATAGTGTAACCTAATGTTCCTGGAGTACATAGTGTAGTTTGTAAGAGTTTATAAACAAAAAGTTTATAAATATGAGAAATGATATTGTAAGTTGTAACAATCAAATTGTGTTACTACCATGTTACTACAAATCAATCTCACCGTTACATCGATTATGTTGATCCAACGGTTATATTTATTTCCATCTTTGTATGGTTATGATTCTCCATATTTAAAGTGAAAATATTAAATACGGAAAATCATAATCATACAAAGATGGAAATAAATATAAAGTATTAAATTTGAAAAATCATAATCATTAACCGTTGGATCAACATAATCGATCTAACGGTGAGATTGATTAGTAGTAACATGATAGTAAGACAACTTGATTATTTAAATATCATTCCCCTATAAATATAACCCTCCCCTTTTTATAAACCGATATGATTTTTGGTTTTAAATAAAATTTGGATATCCATTTTTCAAACCGGTTTGGATATCCATTATAACCGGTTTAGAACTGGATTGAACCAATACAAGTTATATCACTTGTCATTTCTCACTCTTCTTTCATTTTCCCTCAGTTTTATTTATCAACAAAGAAACCCTAAATCAGCCGTACTATGTTATCTTCGAGGCTTTACCTTCGCCTCCATCAGTGAAGGTTTCAACTATGTTTCTTCGTTACTTCTCAGGTTTCTGCTATTTGGTGGGATTTGACATTAGTCATATATTGGTGAGAATAGGCGAAACATTGCGCAAATATCTGTCGAATATGCTGCCAAGCTTGGATATGCATGTGGATATTGGATTTTCTCTTGATATTGCCCTTAATTTGCATAGGTTATTCTTAAAACCTGATAAGATTTTGCTTTTGGAAGCTAGCTCTATTTTTGCACATCAACTGTTTGATGAAATTTTCATTAGAACGTCTCAGGAAATATACTGGCAGAGATAGTAGCCCAAATTGTTTTAAACCGGTTTTGGAAAAATCAAAAACCGATTTTAAAAAGGAAAAATGGTTCGGTTTGAATTTCAAATCAATTAAAACCAGTTGGATTTGGTTTTTGTTAAAAACCGAACCGCTCCATCTCATTGTGACATCACTTCTCATAGTAGCTAAGAGTGGCTTTTTCTTTTACCCTGCTTCACTGTTTGTGCGTAACCAGTATAAGATGGTGTGTTGGTGTGTGGGACGCAATGAGTAATTAAAAGTGTAGTGACAGATGTTAGAGATTAAGAAAGAAAAAGGATTATGTGAATATTTAGTTTAAATGTGCTTGCAGTTGTTTAGTAGGAATGAGGAAAAAGATGGAGAGATAGTTTTGATTTTAAGTTTTACAGGATAAAGAAAGAAAGCTATCTCCTCCTCCCTTTCCTCTTTTCTACTAAATTATTGTAGTCACGCCTATAGTAAAGTGTTTCAGATCTCCTTCTCCTTCATTACCATCCAATCTTCATCATTGCACTCTTAACTACTCATTACATCACATAAACCATCTCATATTAATCACATAAATTATGAATCAGAGCAGCAGTAATAACCACTTTGAAAAGTAATGTCACAATTCCACTTCCACACAGCTTCTATATTGTCCCACCATTTGGGCTCTCCCAAACTTCACACGTCACATAGTAATCCACCCTACACCCTGAGAAGGTGGAGCTGTAGGAATCCACACTTAGTGTGCCACCATCACAAAACACCTTGGTCTTGATCACCTTCAACAACTAATCCCAAACATTCATATCTATTCAGGACTCATGAAACCAGAACCAGCTATAAAACTTAACTCTCGTGTGCCCAAGAAACCCCCCGAGGACATCAACATAACCATAAACACCAAGCTTCCCTTAGGACCACCGTGACCATATATCCTGCCAGGTGTTCCTTTAGGAGGCCTTAAGGTGTATTGAAGTATGTTGTCTTTTTCTTCATTGAATGACGCACAAAGAAAAAAAATATAGAACTAGAGCTCAGATTTTCAATTTCTCTCCTTTTTTTTTTTTTCCTGTATATTTTGAAGTGTGGCTTTGCGGATGTAGATGTTTTATTCCGGTTAGCAAGGATTCCATTTTTATTTTTGCTGTGACTCCTTAAAGTTGATTCCATTTGGTATTCTTATCTAAAGGAAGATACAAAATATGATGGATCAACCTGTCTTTGGCGGGGTGGATCAACAAAGCCATAATAGAAGAAAATATGATGGTAGTTGATCATAGTAACTTATTTTTATTTTTATCCTTTTCTTGCTTATCCTTTCTGCTTCACCTTTCACGGCATTATGTTCTTAATTAATGATGAACCATGTTACAAATTGTGACTTCAATACATTTGTACAATTGGTCAATAACCAACTGTGTAGCCATGCTCAACACAGAAAACTAAATCTACCTGTGTTTTCTTTTGCAGAGTCATCATTTATGGACAAACCTATAGGAATCCTGAATTTTTTGTCTATATTGAAGGATGCTAACATGAGTTGCGAAGTGCTCTAATGTCATTATTACCATGTGATGAATGAACCGCACCATATTTGTTTGTACTAATTCTTGTACATCTTGAAATTTGTAGACTAGTCAATAATATGGATGAGAGAAGAACCTGAAAAATTCATTTAATAAGTTACAGAATAATATAGTTATCTAGCCTCTGGGAGCTCTGACTGGTGGTAACGATAGCAAATTTCGCAACTTCTTGTTCAGCTGCCTTGATGTAGAAAAAAATCCAATAAACAGGCGGCCACATTTGCTTATACGACTTTGAAAGAATGCAATGGCTCAACTGCATCAAAGAACAAAAATGCCAGAGAGTTCTAGAGTTAGGAATCCATGAAGACCGAAGTTAGATCACCATTTCTAAAACAAGAGTAAGATGGTCAACAAGATACATGTTCTAGTAATATAGTCATCAAATAACAGGTTTTTGTAACTTTGCTCACACATGCACGCAAGCTAGCCTGGTGTGGGTGCAGAAGCCTGTGTATGCAATTCTGGTGATCAAATTATCTTAGATGTATAGTTTATTTTACTTTTCTCTGCCAAATTAACAACTTAGTCCATGAATAAGATAGTTAGCAGGTAACCCGTTGTTTTTAATTGATGACTATCAGGTAATTGTCAGCAACTAAAGCCAAATTCTTATTTTCTCTTCTCTATTGGTCTGGATAAAAAATACTGGGATGGAGTGATGTGGCATTGGCATTCGGGCAGTAGCCATGACAATCGCTTTGGTGAGTTTCTTTTCTGGTACTCGGTGGTATTGGAATCAGAAGCTTGGAGGCAGCCACCTCACTCGTATCTGTATCTGCTGACATGTCTCTGTTACATGAGATTGCACACACAATCAACTATCTTATCAAAATATGACAATCTTATAATCATTTGTTTTCCAATTGTTCAGTGACATTATAATTCCTGAAATGCCAGGAGCAGACTCTTTTACAAAGCAGAAGGGCGAGGAGAGTCAGATAACCTGAAATCCAGTTTTAGATTGCTTCTTGTATGGGTCACTGGCATCATATTTACTACTGTGTCTGTATGGTCAGATGAGCACCTCACTTTAAGATACCACCGCCATCTCTTTCTATCTTTGACACCCAAGTGTATGACCCAAGGATGAGAGCAGTAGAAGGATAAACACACAAGGCTGAGAAGGGAAGGAAAAAAAGGAAATAAATGGGAGTCATCTTTATGGACAATGGCCTAACTCAACTCCATAGAATGGGCATTGGTCTCTTCTCTTCTGCTCAAATGACTGTCATCTTCTGGTTTTCTTCCTAAATCTTGTTTTCAACCTTTTATTAGACTGCATTCTGTGTCAATTCCTTGAACCATATGAAATCTAGAAATGTGAAGTTTCTTATTATTTCTGCTTACAAACGTTGCAACATTCTGGAGACATCAGAATGCAGTTCATGATGCAATGCAGGAACTAAATTTAACTAATGCTTGCACTGTTTCATGTAATATTCCAATTACACAAAATTTTATCTCAAAAAGTTAAATTTTCACGAGAACTGTGTCTGATTGCTCCAAACAAACAACTAGTTATTAGCTATGTAGCACCGATACGACACGCGACACGTGACACGACACGACACTCCGAAATGTCAATCCTAAAAAATTATGGATTTCGACACGTTGGGATACGTTTTAATATTAAATAATATTTTTAATTTATAGAGTGTATATTTCATTTAATATTTAATAATTTAACAAAAAAATGAAACTAAATTAATAATACTCATCAACACGTTATAAAGATGGAAACTTTAATAAAAAAAATAAGAACTGGGATTAGAGAGATATAATATCAGATAGAGAGATCAAATCATATTAGAGAGAGATCAGAGAGAAGAAGATACAACAAGAGCGTGAGAGGAATTGACAACAATGATGCTGAGATGATCTCTTATCTACTTAAGGGGAAAAAAGACAAAAAGATAAAATTGATATGATCAGGTGAAAACTTTATTAATATATTTTAACTTTTTAAAAAAATAAATTTTTTTAAAAAAAATTAAATTTTTTTTTACGAAAATGCCATTTGACCATGTCAGGTCAAATTCGCGTGTCGAAATGGTCAACGTGTCGGAAAAAGTCAACCGTGTGTCCGACACCGTGTCGCCGTGTTGGAGCGTGTCGGACTCGACTCTTCCTATTTTTACAAGTGTCCGTGCTTCCTTGGTTATTAGGCAAGTGGACTAGGTGCAGAAAAGAGGGAAATGATCCACATAGCTAAATACTCTTTTGTATATTACTTTAGGGTTTGTTTTTTTCTAAAGTTACTTTAGATAACTTTATCTAATGTTCATTGAAACGATGTCGTTTTGGGATGTAAATCATGGTATTTTTGTAATTTTAATTTATTTCAGGGATATAATAGTCTTTATCATTCTGATTTTTTAATTTTTCAATTCCAAAACAACGTCATTTTAATGAACATTAGATTAGATAAATTTATCTAAAGTAACGTTAGAAAAGCTTTTTTCCCATTACTTTATTACAAATTCATTCAATATTATGCTGTCTGTCAATGCTCGCATAATAAACAATTCATTGAAGTTTTATTTTTCTCACTCTCACTCTTCTACTCGATCATTTTTCTTTCTCTTTCTCTTCTCTGACATTTTTAACATCATTTCTGAACAATATCTATATAAATGGCTTATCACTTCCATGATTTGGGCTTCAGTTATCACATCGATTAACAAAATTCTTATTTTCCTCATATAATCAACACTCAAAAGTAGTCCCTTATAATATTCACATTTGAATCAAAAAGAGATAGTTGGACAATTTTCCCAACAGCCAAACCGAATGTGCAGAAGCTAGTCGATAATTTTAAAAGAAATGGGGTCAAAATAAGCATTTGAGGAATACCACCAAGTTAAGGTGCAACAAAAAGAAAGCTTTGATTTACTATTGGCTTACGTATAAATTGTCCAACTAGTTTTTGAAGAAAACCTCAAACATCGTAAGAAATTTTTTTCACACTTACTTTTCTTTGCCTATATCAAACACTCGAGGAATTCTCACTTTAAGGTAAAAATAAATAAAATGATAACGAAAAGGAAAGTAGGAAACTGTCAACTTGTTCAACCATAGATACTGCCCTGTTTTATTTTATTTTTAAAAGAAACAAAAATAAAACTGTCTACGAGAAGAATCAGGAACAATGACATGTTTATGTATTCGTGCATGCTTTAGGTTGTGGTTGAAGTGACTGTTTGTTTCTTTGGGCATGCCGAGAACATATGTCCTTTTTCACCACACTCGTAGCATGTCCTCCTCCTCATCTTGCCACTTACAGTGGAACTTGATTTCTCACCATCAACTCCATTAACTGGAGCCTCAGAGCTTGTATTGTTCCTACTCATCTTGACACTTCCAGTGGAACTTGATTTCTCACCATCAACTCCATTAGTTTTATTGTTTCCTGGTTTTTTCTTCAAAGGAACCGCACAACTTATCTTGACAGGTCTACCAGACAAAACATTTTGGTCCAATGTAAGAGCTGTTTTCAGTGACTGACTATCACTGAAATCCACATGACCATACCCTCGAAATTCTCCTGTTTCCTTGTCCATACCAAATCGTATGGACGTTATATTGCAATTTGAAAAGAATTTCCTTAGTTCTTCCTCTGCAATATCCCATGACAAATTTCCAACATATATTCTATTGTATCCCTCCAAAACTTCTGGAGCAAAATCTGATGCTTTACTGGCTCGAGTTGCTTTATATGGTTGGATTTTAAGAAAGAGTCCGCCCCTGTTATACATTAAATATCTTGTGAGCATGACATGAGAAATGAGCAAAAACAGGGCTTTTTGACCAAACCAATGCATTTGAAAAAAAAAATACTAATTCAATTCATTTTTCAAAAGATATTCCAAACTAATGCGGTTAATCTCGCACATTGACCGTACAGGACTTAATGCCAACGTGGAAGTCCCACACAGTAAATGTACGGGACTCTCGTACATTTGTTAACGCGAGACTTAAAGAGTGACTTCCACATTGACACTAAATCTCATATGGTCAATGTGTGGGACTCAAAGAGTCTCGTACGGTCAATGTGTGAGACTTCCATGTTCTATGCTGGCACTAAATCCCACACGTTTGACGTGCGGGGAATTGACCGCATTAATTTGGAATATCTTTTGAAAAATAAATTACATAAATATATATATTCTTTTATCAAATGCCTTGGTTTGGTCAAAAACCCAGTAAAACATCTTTGTATAAGAGAAAATTGCCAGTGTTACTAACATGTCAGCTCCATCAAAAGCTAATGCTCGTTTGGCAGCTGCTTCAGTCTGCAGGAAGAATGCCGCAGAGATGTCAGCGAGTTATGAACATGATCCATAACCAAGAGTCAACTTTTGAAATTGCAAGTTGGTTCTCTGTAATGATAAACTTTTGACACAACAAATCTACTGATGGAAGGAGAATTATTATGTATTGCTAACATAGCCTGCTGATAAATCTTAAGGGCTCAACTGAGTGATCTTAAAATCGGCAAGGGCTCTAACGCAATCAATCCTACCATATAAGGAAGCTCAAAAAAATAGTCTACATTTAACTTGAAATTGCATAATACCAAACAGTGAAGTATAGGGGGCACTAGGAAGGGAAAATAATAAAAAAGAAATGAATACTGCTTTGGTCCTCACCTTAAAACTAATAATGGCAATCCCTCTAAACTTCCCACTTTCAGGAAAACTCATGCAATCAACTTCAGTTATGGTGCCACAGCCTTCAAAATAACTTCGAATATCATCCTCAGTTGAATAATAGGGAATTCCTCCGACGTAAACTTTTGTGGGAACATCAACATTTCCCTGGCTGAATACACATATGAAATAAAAATAAATTCAGCTCACAATCACATTCTTTCTTTCCTTCACATATGAACATTGAACAGTAATACTACAATTAAATACAAATCCAAGTATCCAACCATTGCGTTGTTTGAGACGATTATCAGGACCAACAAAATATTAACAATTAGCCTTCCCTGGGAAAAACAATAATAGATAGAGAGAGAGAGAGAGATTGGGAACAATGGTTGTAATGTATATCACCTGGTAGTGTTATTGGTCTTAGTTAACCCTGTAGCCTCTGGCGTTTCACCTCCATGATTGGAACTGTTCTCCTCTACCGTTTTGGCCTTCTTCTTCTTCTGCTTCTGCTTCTTCTTGTTCTTGCTCTTTGATTTCTTGGAATCCTTGAGAACCCCATTTGCCACATCATCACCTTCTACCTTCCTCTTTCTCTTTTTGTTCTTCTTATTTCCCAAACCCTCTGACCCACTTTCCTTAATCCTTCCTTCATCTTCATTAGCGGCTTCTGGAGGGTGAGGGTTTTGCAAAGATCGAATCTTTCGGCGTTTCTCTCTCTTGGACAATATGGGTTTGTGGGTGGCAGAGTCGAGAAGATTTTTGAGAGAGTTAGAAGATGAAGGGACATCAACAACGTTGGAATTGGTTTGGTCTTGGGTCAAGTCAGCTCTAAGCTTCAGTTTAAGCTTCTTGTTCGATAGAACCATTTCCGAATCCCAGTTAAGCTAAGGCTTCAGCTTCAACTTCAAGCTTTGCACTCTCACGCCGCTGAACAAAGGGTTTTAGTTACCAGGTTTTCGTTTGTTTCGGGGGGAAGACGCGACAAACGACGCCGTAAATAATTTTGTTTTAATGAGATATTTGTTCTGGGCTTTTGGCGAAACCATTAAGCATTTGGGCTGAAAACCCAAATAGAAAAACCCAATTATAGTAAGTCAGTTAGAAAATAGGACATAATAAGGTTTTACTATCTTTGTTAAAATTGAGATTTTAAGTAAAATCGGAAGGGGATTAAAAAATCATAGCAAGATTATGCCTGAAATCGCTCAAGATGACACTCCTCCAGCAGCTCTACTCGGGTACCCCTTTTGTGGGTTTTCGAAATGGGGCTGCTGGGGTATTTTAAAACCCTACCGTCGATGTTTACCCGGGTACACTGCTCCTTACCCGGGTAAATAATTCAAACATTTTCCCAGATTCAAGAACTCTACCCGGGTACACCCCTACATACTCGGGTAGATAAAAAGTTTCAAAATTTACCCGGGTAGGTAATGGTGTACCCGGGTAGGCTTCGTGGTCAACAGTCAAACATGGGCAGATTGGTGTTATGTTTGTTGGGGAGGGTAAATTTTCAAAATAGTTTTGAATGAAGGGCAATTTGGTAATTAATTAAGGGGCATAAGGATCAAAAAGCCGAAAATAGAATAAGGTTTTACTATCTGTGGGCGGGGTTGTTAAAATTGAGATTTTAAATAAAATTGGAAGGAGACTAAAAAATCGTAAAACGTAAAATTGTAATGTAAAAAAATCATAAAAACGTAAAAATATTTGAAATATTGGTAAAATCATTTTGATAAAAAAAATCGTAATAACAAAATCGAGATTTTAAGAACTACTAGAGAATTAGTTTTATTGTTTGGATATGTGATTTAAGATTGATTTTATATAAATCAATATATCTAAATGAATGTAAATTGAATTATTTTTCCGGCAAAAAAATAAAAATAAATTAAGGCGGTAACGTTTAGGAAGATCACTAACTTCATTAAAGATTTATGAAAATATTAAATATTATTTACTAATTGGTTATCTTGAAATCAAACCCAAATCTTAATCATGTTAGCAATTGAAATTACTTTTAATTCTTAAATTAGTGACAAAAAGATATCAGTTTTTTCGTATATATTTATATATTTGGTCAACGTGTAATAAAATCATTTATTTACACTTGAAAGTACTTTTAATTTTTAAACTTTTGAGAAAATTGCTTCTTAATAGGGATTGAATATGACTTTTGACGGATACATTATTTATATTTACACTTCAAAGTAAAAGATTTCTTACGTGAACAAAACAGAACGATTATTTATATTGTCTGGTTTAGAAATCGTGAGAACGAATTTTGATCTTGTCTGCAAGTTTCACCGTTTTCATCCTTTATCTCTATATTTTGTCAAGACCAACTATTGACCATTCAATTTTATATGTAACTTATTACAACAAAGGCCAAAGGGTGAGGAGAAATCATACAGGTAATTCAATGAGTGAATTATTGTGTATTCAATTATGAACCTTCTTTGTCGATGGAATTACATTTAAAGATATTGTTTCGGGTATGAGCCTAAGTTTTAGTATTGGGCTTAAGACTAAAACAGGCTTTCCATCTGAAGAAGAACCTATTGGCGTCTGACACCCATGATCCCCATCTAGGAGTAAGTGCTCCCTAAGTCCATATAAATACATACACAGTATTAAAAGGAGGGACACTTTTTTTTTTTTTTTTATTCTCATTCAACTTTCTCCGGGTACCATGTCCTCGGGGTACGGTCCGTTTGGGCTAGCCCTTCATTGTAACAGTGGGTGCATTAAGCTTCGCAACCGGAGAAAGGACGAGACTAATCCCCAAACCAAAGATTTTTGACTTATCCCCTAGCCCCCAAAGATTTTTCAAGAAACTGCTTGAGGCAAGGTTTGATCCCTGCACCAAGCAATCCCTTGGGAGCTCAGCTGCCAACTTAGCTACCCTTGGGGGTTAAGGAGGGACACTTTATCTTCACAAGCATTTAACAGCATGACCAAGCCTTAGAGCTCTCACCATTTTCATATCACTCACACTCCTCTTATTGGCATACCCATCAAACTTTGGCCAGAGGTACTAGATCCATCGTTACCAGTTATTTCTTTTACTTGCTTAGTAGATACAATTATTAGCTCTTCAACTAGACATTAATATTCACCGCTGAACAAATATGCTGCCTCCTTCAAGATTACATAAATTGGGTATGGCTAAAGACGGCAGAAAAGGAAAAGGAAAGAAACAAAACATGAGGCTCCAATAGATAAGTGACAAACGATCAATTAGGAAAATAACTTGTTTATATCATTCTCCTTTCTCAGGTACATAAAAAATAAAAATCACTGCATAAACACTACATCCAAGCAACTCCCTTTTGATGTCTCTATCTTTGGAGGCTTTCCCTTGACTAGCTGAATTAATTGTTTTGCCATTGAGATTTCATCCTCTGGACTTGTAAATCCCATAAACTTTATCAATTTTAGATGCTCCAATTCTGTATATTTAGTAGCTTGAATTAAGCATGAATTGGACCGTGGAGCCAAATAACTTTTAGGATCAATCTGCACCCAATCAATGATAAAAATGTCAGAACTCTAAAAGTTTAAAAACTATATAGCAAATCAGTAGCATCAATCACTCCCAAGTTAGAAACCTACAGTCACAAAAAGTTGCTCCAAGGCAGGGCATAATTTCAAGAAAGAGACTAAGGCATCGATGCTGTTTTCATGCATATGCTTATCAATCCATCTTAGCTCTCTTAATTTATAGAATATGAAGTTCCCACTCGAAAGAGAAATTGATGGCCATATCAGTGCCTGCAAGAATACCCTTTTGGAGTTAAATTTTGTATAAGAAAAAAATGGACATTCTAAGCTCATTTCATGGTACAACTTCTCACCAACCAAAAAATAAGAAACTAAGCAAGATAAATGCATAAAACCAGCAATAGTAGATGGGAAATAATATAAAGAGCATCATACCTCAAAAGTCCATTCACATAAAGTAAGAACTTCAGAATTCTTTATTGTTAATAGTGCTTCATTGAAATCTTGAGCCTTGTAGTCACTGCAGCTTTGGCCTAGTCTGAAATCAAGCATGGCATCACACAGGTTGAAATGAGATTCTGGTAATATCCGAGGAAGAGGTCCACGATATATGAAAGATTTAAGTTTGGAAGTTCTAAGATGGAGGGACTTCAACTGCAGGCAATCTAAGATGGTTAACTTGTGAAGCTTTGATTTGGATTCAATGCACAAAGATAGCAATCCACTACACTCAATGATTGTCAAGTTCTCAAGATGCTCCAAATTTGAAATGATGGATGAAGCTGCATCACTTGCCAAATAGCTCACTGATTTCAAATAAAGTGTTTTGACTAAGAAAGTAGGAGGAACATGCTGGTAGGTGATGTGTTGTTTATTGAGCTTGAATTGCAGTTCATACTGCCTTTCAAGTTCTTTCTTCCCTGATGAGAAATCAAGAAGAAGCTTACTATTAGTTGCAATAGCTGCATAGAGTGCACTGTCTTCAGCAAAGTGAAATTGAAGCTTGCGGGGATGCTTTAATGGATCAAGTTCCTCAAAACGAGCCAGAAATTCAGCAACAACACCAGTGATATCCTCTGTGGTTCCATATCTAACAAGAACTTGGTTCCATAGGTCTCTCCACCTGGTACATACGAGGCTGGTTTCAAGTGCATTTTCATTTGGCAGAAAAGAAACTATGCTGCTAAGAATTTCGTCTGGCAAATTGTTGAACAGATCCTCTACACTTTCTTCCATGGAATCTCTAATGTTTCAAAACTGGATTAGGATTTTCAACTAACTAGGTGTGGAACAAGAATGGATGTTTCAAAGGTAGCTTTTTAGGTGTTAGAAGACTCAAAATTTGATATTGGTGTCATTATCTGCTAGGGACCTTACGGATAATCTGCTAGGGACCTTACGGATATATATATATATATATATATATATATATATATATATATATAGGTTCAGTGAGTATCAAGTGACTTGATGTAGATTAGGTCCAGTGCACTATATTCTCCCGCGAGAATATAGTGCACAAAAATTTTTGCTTATATTCTCCCGGAAGAACACCATTGTAATGTTTTTGCACTATATTCTCGCCGGAGAATATAGTCAAAATTCACTCACTGGACAGTCCAGTGACTGAATTTTGGATTTTTCGTATATATATATATATATATATATATATATATATATATATATATAAACAGTCTCCACTCTCCACCTTCCGGTCTATATCTGTTGGTCTTTTCTTTCTGTTGTATTCAATTCTAAGGACCATTAATTTCTATGCTTTTAATGTTACTTCCTGGTTATGACTTTGAGATTCAATTTGTTTGAACAAGTTATCACAATGACATCTATATTTTTATTTGTTTAATAACGTGCATTTGACAACCTGAGCTGATTCTTGTTTTTTCATCAATCTGAAAATGATTTTTCAAAGTGGGAAGGTAAAAATGAAAAACAACGTAAAAGTTATTTTTAAGTCGAATTTATGACTTGGAAGTGAAAACAGTTCTATTTTGTTTTTCATCTTTTTCGTTGCATCATAATGTTGACTTTAAGATGTTTTACCTCCTAACTTTTCATCTGTACAATCAAGAAGGCTTCAAAACTCTTGTCACTTTCAAGTACATAAAACTCTAGTCTCTTTGATAAAAATGAATTTCGATTTCAAGTTTCTTTGTTCACCGTAAAATGTTTTGATACTCTCTTACACAAGTTTAAATTCTTTTGATGATGTTTTTTAGTGTAAACAGTTTAATTGGCATGCACGGTGAATCTATAAAAGAATTTTATACCAAAATTCATTTGACGATTTGTTTATTTTTTATATTATGAAAAAATATAATAATAAATAATAGTTTATCAAAATATTAATTAATATTGGTGTAAGATTCCCAGTACGGCAGTACTGCATATTAATTAAACACGACTTCAAAACTACATGTTATGACATTAAAAGAGCAATATATATTTATAAAGGAAAAAATTATTTTCATTCCATGAGATAAGTTTTTTTTTTATATATCCTTCGATAGTTGTATTATTTATTTTTTTTATTTTTTCAGATAATAAAACTCATAAATTTATCTATATGATATAAGATAACTTATTTTTTTTAAAATGAGATTAATAAATTCCATTTATAAATAGCCTATGCGGATAAGTGTTGGGGCTTGTAAAAGTCATTTCAAACGACTTTTTTTTTTTTTTTTATATATAAATGATGACATAAAAGATGACATAACGATGACATAAATGGTCAAAGTAGACCAATTCAAGTGATTACAGGTGGCTTTTAAATAAGTAGCTTGTAAACTTGACAAAGTCGTCACCGTATTTATAATCATATTTAATAGTTTACAAAGAAAGTAGACGTTTCAACCGGCGAAGCGGTTTTAATATTAACCTAAAGTAGCGTGATTTTCGATGTAATTCTTATGCTTCCCACAGCATGAAGAAAGATTTAATTACCATAAGCAAATTATTAACAAAAACGATTTTCCTAGATGTGACGGTTAAATTATAGTATCCAATGACTTCCTTATGTAAATAAAATCAAGAGAACCAAAGCAACATCACAATAAAGTCAAGAAAAATGACCTTTGCACAAAGAAACCTTTCAAAAAAAAAATTTAATAGTCCAAATAAATCTACTTTAAAATATGTAAAAATTTGTAATAGATAAAAGGGATTTGCATTTGTCATTTAACATGACACAACAAAGTTTTTTACACACACAATATTTTGTGGGACTCACACTTTTTGAAGAAAAAAAATTACGACGTGCAAAACGAATCTCTATAACATTACACAATCACTTTTTCTACAACATAACTCTTATAAAACTCTAGATAAAATATAGAAATAAATTAATTTACGTTTTCAATTTTATTGACGTTAACAGACTTCATGTTCCTAATCCAAGTGCATGCTTGTTGCTGCTAGCCAGTAATGCCACCTTTCCTTTATAATCAAGTATATATGGCCTGTTCTTTTGTTCTTTTTGGATGCTACTCCTCTTGACTTCGTCCTCAAGAACATTTTCAAGCATACTTTCAGCAGGAAAATTAGCATTAGTCACGTACAAAGAATCTTAGGCCACATGGCATGGTGCATGCATATGGAATCAATGCCAAATGGCATTGCACAAGCTATAAAATTTTGCATAAATTAATATTCTTTTTTTTCCTTTCTTTTTAATTTACATGGCATGCAATTTTCTTTCATGCACATTAAAAATGGTATGAGTAACCAACATTTATTCATTTTGTATGTAACCAACACTTCTATACATGCTTGTATGTATATATCCAGTTTGGATTAAAAATTTGGGCCCTATTTTTTTAAAAATCTTGACAATACAAATCTTTAATAATAATTTAGGTTCTATTACCTAAATAGAATAAAAAAACAAAAAAACAAAATCACTTTCCGTTAAATCAAACTAGTGAGTGTGAGGTGGAGTAAATCCTTATACGTAGTCTTACTCTTGCATAATTGCAAAGATATTATTTCCTAAATTCGAATCTATAACCTTTCAATCATGAAAGAACAATTTTATCATTACTCTGGTTCGCCTCCTTTTAAATTGATAAAGGGAATACTAAAAGAAAATTAAAAGGGAAAAAGAGAGAGAGAGATTGATCTGTTAATGCTGTTTCAGAATAAAGGACACATTCATTGGTTTGATAAGTAAGAGTTTGATTCATTCATTTATTCACTGCTGAATATGGAGATGACCAGATTACATCCAAAAAAGGAAAAAAGGTTCTAGACTTCAGAATTTGAAAGGGGTTGATGACCATCATCACCAATAAAGATATTATCATAGAGAATGGCAGCAGTTGCTGAACCAATGAATGGGCCAATCCAATAGACCCAGTGATGAGTCCATGACCCACTAACCATGGCAGGGCCAAAGGACACAGCTGGGTTCATTGATGCACCATCAAAAGCACCACCAACCAAAATATTAGCACCCACAACAAAACCAATTGCTATTGGGGCAACAACACCCACATTCCCTCTCTTTGGGTCTATTGCTGTGGCATAAACTGTATATACCAACCCAAAAGTCATCACAATCTCAAAGACTAGTGCATTCCAGACAGACACACCAGAGGATAAAGAAAAAGCTGATGTTTCCTGCACAATGCAAACAAAAACAGATTCAATCATGGGAAGAGTGCTGATCATTATTAAAGATGAAGAATGAATAGTACCATTCCACCAGTGGTGAAATTGAGAAGAATGCAAGCAACAACTGAACCGAGTAACTGTGCAATCCAATACAAAATACTTCTCAACAAGGTTATGTTTCCTCCTAAGAAAGCACCAAATGTGACAGCAGGGTTCACATGGCCACCAGAAATGTTTGCCCCAACAGCCACAGCCACAAAAAGTCCAAATGCATGAGATAATGATGCAACTATGAGACCATCAGGAGTTGCAGGTCCATTGTTGGTAATTTTGCCTGCCACAATAACCAACAACTAGTCACCACATTAGTATCCTAAAATTCTCACATTGCTAAGCATTAGAAGGAAAAAAAAATCTCAAAATAGGGAACAAAAATCACATGACCCTTATTTTGAAAATGGCAACTTTTGTTTTAAATTGTTATAAAAGCAATTTTAACTTATATTAAAAGTTTCAAAAACACATTTTTTTGAATAAAAGGAATGAATCATATAGAGTGTGCTCACTATAAGCCATGCCAGAGCCTTGGCCAGCAAAAACAAAAATGAGCATAGAAAAGAACTCTGCAAGTGCTGCTCTAATTGCAGAAGGATGGCTAGCCTCTCCTGGTGTCCCAATTGCAATTCTATACATTGCCATATTAGCTAAGGAATCAGAAACTACAGAAACAGAAGCCTGTGTGCTTCTTAATTTTCTTTTCTTTTGTTTTTTCTTTTCTATTTTGGTTAAGAGTGAGCATAAACTGTGAGACTCTTTAAATAACAAAATTAACGGCTAAAGACACGGTCCAATTGTTTCCCGGTAAGACTGTGTACAATTAGTTTATGCCTACAAGTACGAGTCCTCATGCTTGGAGTCATTCATTTGCTACCTGATACCTATATTTGGTCCTAGTTTTGCCACATTTTTGGCTGTCATGTTACGTGGTGCAGCTACAACTAATTGGTAGATCAAAGGGTTGAAATAGTCACCTAAGTACTTTCATATTATCCTCCAAGGTTTTCATTTGTACAATTCATCCTCCTAATCTATGTCCAAGCCCATCTATAATAATTGATCCCCTCAGTCTTAGTGTCGTCCTAATTGACAATGAAACTTGACAATTAATGGAGATGAATTGCACAAATTAAAAAAGTTAAGAATTTTATTGTTAATTTAGTCACCAATTTAAATGTCTTTAGGACGGAAGTATGGATTTACACGTTTCAGGTCAGCTAATAAGTTATATAAATTGCAAATTGCATTAATCAAAATTTTAGATGACAAGCTACAAATAAATTAATGTTCAATGATGTCTTTTAAAACTTATCCGAAGTAAAAGGATGATTTTTCTTCTTGCTTTCGATTTATTATGGTCATTTTTAATAATAACACTCCAACAAATTCTCTTTTATGACTGGTTTAGTATCGCATGACCACCTATTGCAACAAATAAAAATTAACTAGTGTGCAATTTATTTTACAAATAATTTAGGCCAACTTGATAAAGACATAACTACATATAAATTTAGGACTTGCAAATATTGCATAAGAAGTTGAAGCTTCCCTACCGAAAGAGAAAGGAGTGGGATCCATCTTGAAAAAAAGAATAGAAATTAAAAAAGCAGTTGGCACGAACATTGAAATGAGGGTGGTAGAAGAAGAGATTTCTTGTGAAATTGAAATATTTTTCTCATAAATTTAAGTTTTCAGCTGATATTATTAATATTGGATTTTCTAGTGTTTTCCTTTAATTTGATGTTTCTAATATTATAAAAGATAAGTTTATGTCCTACACACATATATATAAAAATATGTGTAGCCTATATTCTTTCTTCTTCTTATATGGTTTCACGTAAATCTCTTACAACATAATAAATATTAAATCGTTTTTTCTTTATAAAACTGACCCAGCCCAAATAAAAAAAATACAAACAAGAACTATTCTTTGTTAAAAGATATGGGCCAGAAAGCTTTTTTTTTTTAGTAGGTTGGGCCATAAAACTTTTACAAGTAAATATCCTGACTTTTGGAAACTACCATGTTCAGAACCATATAATGTCCTTATACTGGGGCCAGGCCCACTTTATCTCAACTCTCAAACTCGTAACTGGGAAAGGAATAATAAACTCGTTATGGATCATCCAATGACAAATAATAGAAGAAAGACTAAATATCATTTTTGGTCCTCAACAAATTTCACGATACTCATTTTAGTCCCTAGCAAATAAAAAGGCCTATCGTGGTCTCTAAAAAATTCAAAATGAACCCATTTTAATCTTTTTAGGGACTAATACGGGTCTTTTTTGAATTTGTGAGGGACCACGATTTTAACTAAATGGATCCATTTTGAATTTATTAGAGACCACAATGGGCCTTTTTATTTGCTAGGGACTAAAGCGAGCATCATGAAATTTACTGATGACCAAAAAGGATATTTACTCTTGATGAAAAGAGGAAAGTCATGTTTAACTGTCATATTGACCACAAACTCCGAACCACATATCTAAAGCCTGAATTATATTATCCAGTATTCCAAGTACACACACACCCCATTACAATAGTGAAGCTCTAAACAACTGTCAAATATGGTAGTTTCTTCGTGCTCTTTGAGCTGGACTTCGCCCTGCTTGTCCCACAAGGTGTGTTGATGATTTTTTACATTACATTCAGACCATATATATGTTGTTACTCACGTACTTAATTGTTCACTATTTCAGTTAAACTTGCCACATTCAAATTATTTGCCTCGCAATAATTCAACCTCAACTTCCAAAAGTGTCTTTTGTGCATTGGACACAGTCTCCACAGGAGAATCAGAACTCAGAAGTATCCATCTTCATTAAAGCTTTATCTGAATTTTCACTATAAATTCATTCTGACATGAATATAAGTAGGAGACCTGAACCATTTTCTTTTTAGTAAAAAATGAGAATTTGATGATAAACAAAGTTAGTTCTCTTTGGTAGAAGTAGATTTTGAGTAGTTCATATATTGAAGAATTTTTAAACCTTAGGGGCTTCTCTCATCTCCTTCCAAATTTTCAGGCCATTGCCAGAGAAGACCACTGTTGTTGGGTTTTGGAGCATTAACAGCAAATTTACAACCAACAAATTTGCTCTTTGCTGAAGGTGAATTTCATGCCCGGTGATCTTTTTTTTTTTGTTATTGAGCTTCACTAAAAGGTTTTTTATTCATATATATGTGAAACTGAGAGGAATCATAATCTTCTGAAATTTAGTAATTCTACTACTCTTTCTTGTGTAGAAATACCAAAAAAATACCGAGCTTTTGTTGACAATTCAGATGGGTATTCTTACATATATCCCTCAGATTGGAAGGTAAGAAATAAGGATCATATTAATCCCACAGAAATGCTAGTTTCAACCAGATAATTTTCTAGAAGTCTGAATGATCTCCTCCCTAGGAATTTGACTTCAGGGCTCATGATTCTGCATTCAAAGACAGATATCTACAGTTACAAAATGTAAGGGTGAGATTTATACCAACTGAGAAGAAAGACATCCGAGATTTGGGTCCAATGGAAGAGGTGATGATGCTGAACTTTGTGTCCTAATGTTATAGAGTCTAATTTATACTTAACCAGTTTGTATATTAAGCAGGTTATATCCAATTTGGTGAGACATATATATGCTGCACCAAACCAAAGACCTACAATATATGACATGCAGGAGGTTTCTTCTCATTTTATTTCTTCCGCAGATGAATTCTTTTTAGTAAATTTCTTATGATCATGATGGCCAATGGCCAACTAACAAGCATATCTGATTTCTGAATGCAGCGAACGGTAGATGGAAAACATTACTACACATTTGAATATGTACTTACATCACCAAACTACTCTAGTGCCTCCTTTGCAACAATTGCTATAGGAAATGGTATGTAACCTACCATCTCAAATCTCAATGTGCTACCCCCATAAATGCTCTCTCAAAGTAATCCTAACTCAATAAATATGTAGCTCAGATAAAAAGACATAAAACTGATGGGATTAGCAGTTTCGGGAAAGCTTTGAGAAGATTAATTCTTCAAAAATGAATTCCAATTCCTTCAAAAATATGTGACTTCTGGGTGTCATGGGAACATCTAGATATAACTGCTAACCTACAAACTTGACTGCACTTGACTTCTTGCATGACTATGAAAAGCTTACTAAATGGTATACCCTATGCGTTTCAAGTTTTATACACCAAAATCCAAGTACATTAGGGAACTAAAATGTTGTCATTTAATCAAAAAGCTCAGTATATTCATGCTAGGTTATCAAATAAAAGAATCATAAACAAGTTATTAATTTAGTTTTGCAATTGGAAATATGTCTAGATAAAAGCATAATTGAAGTTGCTTCTATATAATGGCATCATGTCATGGTTGTAATGCTAACTAATAACCTGCACTTTGTACAGGAAGGTACTACACATTAATTGTGGGAGCCCTTGAGAGGCGATGGAAAAGAGTACGAGATCAGCTTAAGGTGGTAGCAGACTCCTTTAAGCTCCTTGACATCTGAAATGTTACAGGACAATGCAAGACACTAATTATTTGCCAACAGATCAAGTTTGACATATATATATATATCAAAAGCAAAATAAACTATTGCAAGTGAATAATTTCATCTGTCATACCAATAGAGAATTTCTTTCGCTGTCCCATCCATACATTGCATGCTGACTGCTGAGGACGCCCACTTTGACAACATACATTATATGTGTATGTAGACTTCCTCGATCCAGAGAACTACAAAGGGTTGCCATGAAAATGACCACTCACTAAAGAAGCCTAAATATCAATTCACAGCATGTGAAAGAGATTAAATTAATGCTTTAGTTAGAAGGAAAAGGAAGTATAAACATTTGAGCCACAGTTTTTATAGTACTCTATATTTCATTTTTTATTGAGATTTCCACTTTTTTCGTAACTTAAATGATAGGGAATCCTTCGAATTGGATGTTCTTTTGAGTCTTTGTTCGTTTGTCCTTCCGTCCATGTAAAAGTATTTGGTCTCTTGATCCTTCTAGTGTGTCTTCACCTTTTATTCTTCTTTTTCATCCAGAGCTCCTATCTCATGATAGGATAATCTAATATAATTCTCTTCACTCACTTTTGTCTGTTTATACAAGTAGAAAGGTTAAAAACAAAATTGAAAATTAATTAAAAAAACTACCAAGAATCTTGGCAAAATACACGTGGAAATTTGCATCTATTATATAGGAAATACAAAAAACAAAAAAACTCGTTAACCCGTGTAATTCAAGCACCGGAAGGAATGCCTTCTAAACTATCGCTATTTATATACAAAGGTTACAACTCTTGGACTGTATTTTCTACAATTTTCACAAATGAAAAATAAAATAAAATTACAGTATTGAATAAGTTCATCATCCACGCTTGAGACAGGGAGAATGAAAAGTCCAATCAAAGAGTCATAACTCATCTGAATCAGTGTTGATTCCACCTTCCTCCCTTTGAAAAACAAATCAATATACCATGGAGACAACACCGTCAGTCTAAACTGCTTGCCTCCAAAAAGAATATGCATTCACCACAGCTCAAACCTCTTCTATCCCGAACAATGCCGAGTGCTATTCAAGTTTCATATTCCCATTCTTGCAACACGTAAACCTCCACATGACATTGGAAAATTCCATCAGGTGTAGCAATCACCAGTGATTCAACTCAAGCAGAATATGAAACAATTTTCATGAACCAACATTAGTAGCAATTACTCACATCACATACTCCCATTCTAAATAAGCCGATGCTGACGCAAACCCTTACCAAAATGAGGTTGCATCAATCGGACATACAGACCATTCTTCGCCACCAATGAATCATGGGTCCCCTCCTCCACTATCCGTCCTCCATTAAGAACTACTATGTTGTCCACATGCCTCATCATCACAGCCCTGTGCGCTATTAGAATAGTGGTCTTGTTTCCCATTATTAGTGTGTCTAGAGCCTCTTGCACCACTCGGCTTGACTCAGATTCAATTGATGAACTAGCCTCATCCAACAACAAGATAGGAGCATTTTTCAACACTACCCTTGCAATTGCAATTCTCTGTTTCTGTCCTGGAGTTAAGTCAACACCTCTCATCCCAACGTGTGTGTCATAACCATGAGGCAAGTTACTAATGAAATGATGAGCATTCGCTATTCTTGCAGCCTCTTTAATTTCAGCTTCACTGGCATTATGCCTGGCATATATGATGTTTTCCCTTATGGTTGTTGAGAAGATAACAGGTTCCTGCTGAACCAGACCAAGGTGGCTTCTTAACCATCTCAAATTATATAGTTTTAAATCCCTCCCATCTAGTAAAACTTGTCCAGCAACTGGATCATAAAATCTCTCGATCAAAGATATTATAGTGCTCTTTCCTGACCCTGATACTCCCACAACAGCAATTGTTTGGCCCCCATTGACTTTGAGACTAAAATTGCTTAATACCAACAATTCTGGACGAGAAGGATAACAAAAATCAACATTTTTCAACTCAATGCTTCCATATACATTGGGTGGCCTCAAAGCTGAGCTATCATCAGGATCAATTTTAGGCACGCGATCTATAATTTCAAACACTGAAATGAGAGATTTGCGTCGCTTAAGTATGTAAGGAGCCAATCCAAAAGGCTCCACAAGTGCAAATGTAGCGAATGAGAAAACCATGTACTCCTTGAGTGCAGTAGGTGGGTCCACATAACTATTTTTAATACACGTTGCAGTGTACCAAAGTAGAAGAGCATTACAAGCAAAAAGTAGAAACTGTGAAAAGCCGAACGCAAAACCAATGGCAACTCCATGAAGAAAGCTCTGCTTAAATATTTTATTTAACTGCAGCCTGTAAAGTTCCATTACTTTATTACCGGCACAGAATGCAACTACAGTGTAAATATTTCTAACTGCATCTTCAAGAACCAAAGATGCCTTTCTGTGCATTTCCTGTATGCCCCTTGAAAATCCAGCAAGCCACAATTTCTGCAATATTCAAGGAGGCTGCCTTAACACATGCATGATGCAAATGATAAAAGCAAATAAAAAATGCTCAGTTATGCTTAGCTAGCATTATTAAGTCATTCACATACTTAGCAGTAAAAAAAGAGGTAAAATAGCATTCAATCAAGATACCCTTGATTCTGCAAGCCAATAAATGCAACAAAATTCTGATTTCTTAAAGAGACAAATAAAATTTGATGAACAATAAAGTTAGCAATAGACACTGCTAAATTACGCTTATTAGTAACTTTAACATGAAAAGATATTTTATGGTTACAGCAATGCAACAGATAATTCCAATATCAAGTTTGTCAAAACAATCACAACAACTGAATGCCGATTCAGTTTTCATCATTCAGGATGCATCTTTGCCTTTAATTTCACAGTGAAAGAGCCAAATGTATTCTTATTTCTAAGATAGAGAGAAAGAGAGATGCACAAACATGCACATATGAAAATTATCATATTTTCCTTTCTCAACTTTTCCTTTTTAAACATTAGCAAGTCTTTGTGTTTGATGCATATTCAGCGACATTACAAACACAATAGTACAGCACAAGTGCTTGAGTCACAGAACTATTTTTTATGCTGTTAGCTGTTTTGATGACCAATGCAGAACTAAATTTTGTGATATCTATGAATAGAATAACAAAATTTATTATAATATCCTTTGTGTTGGGCATTGTTTTGCACATATTAAAAATGGATAATAAAGGGGTAATTGATCTTTTCCTCTTTCTGTGTTGTAGACAAAATTTTGTAACCTGGTTTATTGGGTAACAATAATTTAGAGATTTGTGTTGTCTCTTGAGTTGCTTTTTTAGGGTAATTATACTCTTTAAACAATCAAAGAAAGTAATTTTTTTTGTGCTGTGCTATCCCTTATTTTTTAGCAAATCAACACCCATAGTCCCAGACATCTCAAGGTTTTAAAAGGATTTGTTATTCTCTTCAACATCATTCTTGAGGCAAAGGAGACACCAACTATACTCATTGTTCCCTAATTGGTGGCATATTATCCAGCTAACTTGGATTCTAATGAATGAAATATATGAAAAAAAGAAGATAAAAGGCCGTCAACATGATATAAAAAACACAATTTAGGATCAGCATCCTCAACCCATTTTCAATTTAAGATAGGAAAAGATCAAGAAATTATGACTTTCAAAATCACTGAACTTTGCAAGAGGCATAAATTTCCACAAACTGTGTTGACATGAAAAAGAAAGAAAAGCTCAACCCAAACCACCAGAGAAAATTACATTGCAAGACCAGAAGAGCAGTTGCAAACCTGAGCAATGGCAGAAACACAGAGAACTGGAAGTGTTGCTAAAGCCACAAGTGCTATTCGCCAGTGCAGCAAAACACCAATGAGAAAAGCAACACTAACTGCAGCACTGTCCTGTATGAATATGGAAAGTCGGTTACTAAAAGCCGCTCTCACAAATGTAGCATCATTGGCCAAGCGCATGGATAAATTGTCAGCACTGTTGTCCTCTTCATCAAACCATCCAGCTTCATTGCGTAGCATGGCTGCCATGATATGAAAACAGGTTTAAGTTCAGCCCAGAAGTACAAATTGAAATTGTTTTAAAGAAAATTACTGCAAAAGGATGTACACACCTGAGAACATCATTCTCCTAACTCTTTCTGTCATTTTCTCCCCCATAATACCAAAGTAGAAATGCTGTAAAAAGTTGGCAAAAACTGTCACGATACCCATGCAGGCAATGATCAAGCACCACTTGTCTACCTCTCCTCGTAAGTGATGAGCTTCATCAATTCTATGATAAGCTGTCACCACCAGGCCAATAATATAGGCAAGAAGGGGATTGAAAGAACCAAAGATAGCAGCACCTATGCTTCCTAACACAGCATAAAGCCACTCTGCAAAACTAAGCTCTGCCAGCCTCCAAAGTGAGGGTTGTTCTTGATAACGTGCATCCTTTGTTTCATCCATTTTCACTGAAAAATCATCGGAATGACTATCTGGTCTACTAAAAGTTTGTGAATGGGAGCGTTCATTTTGAGGATCAGATGTTAAAAGAGGTGAAATAGGGGATTCTGGGTCAGAACCTTTTGATGTTTGTCGATGGACAGACTGAACATCAATCTTGGGTAACTCCGGTAGTCTCATTTCAAAACTATCCTGCCTTCTTATTGATGGCTCCTTATCTGGTGAATTCAAAGACTGACCATTTTCCATCATCTTCTCAGGTGGTGGGCTCAAAACTTTTGGTGATTCTTGTGAGTTAAAGAAGCCATCTGAAGGCCGAAATACAGCAGAAACTCTTTGAAGAGAGGGTGATTTTATCATTCTAGGGGATGATGGTTCTTTGAAACTATGATTTTCTGAAGAATCTTTCTCAATTTGGAAAGCTGCAGTCTGCTTGTAGTTTCGAACAGGCATCCTGGATGATGATAAACACAACAATAAGTAACTTTCTACATACCAATGGTGAAATCTTACAATTTATTAAAAAATGCACTAAATATTACATACTTTAGTTCAAGGGTATTTAGATTTACTAAAAAAGAAAGCATAATGATTATTAGTTATTATTATAATAAATCATTTTCTTAACAGACTCTAGCCACTTTCTCCATTACAATATCTGTTTTCAAAGAGTTGTGTTATATTCTCAAATAAACACAAACAACAGGATGGAAAAGGAAGAAGCATTATTTGATCCAGTATTAGACCTCTTGGGAAGTTTTGTGGCCTCTTCATGTCGAATGAGCTCTGCATATAAGCCATCCAGGGTCAATAATTCATCATGAGTACCCATTTCAACAAGTTGACCTTCCTCCATAACAGCTATATAATCAGCATTCCTTATAAGACTAAGCCTTCGAGCAATTATTATGGTTGAGCGTCCCAACATAAGAAGATCCAGAGCCTCCTGAACGGACCTCTCAGCCTCAAAATCAAGTCCACCAGTAACCTCATCAAGCAGAAGAATTGATGGATTTAAAAGTACAGCTCTCGCAATAGAGAGTTTTATTTTCTGCTCTTCTGTC